TTTTTACTTTATGGAGGTTATCACAAAAAAAAACATAACAAAATCTAATTTTATAATTTGTCGAAGAAGCAAGGGAGTTCTGTCGAAATAAACTTCGACCAATTGTTTTCATTGTATTCAATTTATGTATTAAAAATAATTATTATTTTTCCTATTATTACTGATGTTCTCTCCCTTTTATTGTACAGTTTATATTTTCTGTAGAACTTATATAATTATATATATTGTAAAATCACGTCATCTTTGAAAATACTAATAAATAATAAACTATGAGTGGGACTACAATAAATGTTAAGTGTTCTTCGTTTACAATTTGGCAGTGTTGTAATCGATCAACAAAAAGTCTCAATGAATTATGTCTGATTTTACAATATTAGGTGTTTTTGTGAATTTTCTTCTATTTTTTGTATCAGTAGAAATAAACATGTTGATAATTTCTAAAAGTAGTTTTTTTATTCTGCTTCAAAAAATGTAAAAAAATCTGAGTGTTCCATTAAAAAAAAAAAAAAATGGCGGCTGTGTCTGTCAAAAAAAAAAGGAAATATGTTTTAATCAAGTCGCCATGTTAATTATATCCAAAGCAAATTTCAGAAAAAAAAAACTTTTCACATAACAAAGTTATTCGACCGTTCCAGGACTTTATACTAACCCTGTATTTCGACAACACACAACGAAGTTAAACAAACTGGACTTTTGGTCAACCTTAAATATCCAGGTTTAGGTACATCTCCTGATGAAATAGTGCATGACAAATTGACTAAAACTTATGGGCTCCTTGAAATAAAGTGTCTCTATGTTGTGAAGAATTTCCATCCTCATGAAGTTGAGTTACTTTCATCACGTCAACAACGTGATTCTTGAGTTTATCTTCTTAAGAATAACCTAAATTTAAAACGATATAAACATACTACTATTACCAGATCCAAATGCAAACGGCCATTTATAACAAAAGTGGTATGATTTTGTGAAATACGCTATATGTACAGTAGTGGAAATCTAAAGTCGACATTTTGACGACTTTTTCACCAATTTTGGAAACCCAGGTTTTTATTACCTAGGTTACCTTTTTACAGTCTCCACAGTGATTCTGAATAACATTCAGCCTTTAGATTATTTTTGTGTTCTGGTTATCTTTAGATTTTTTTGGTAAATCCGAATCAGTCAGTAATTTTGAAACATTTAAGGCTGTTATGGCACTGTTACATCCGTGGTATGTTCAAGGTTTTATCGGTTTCAGTTCAATCTGGCCATTTGCTTTAAAAATGTTGTACTGATCGCGTTTGCATAAGATGTTTCCCATCTTAAATTCATTCATTGTGTGAACAATTTAGAAAAATTGGTCGAAAGTTGCTTCGACAGAACTTTCCTCGCTCCTGAAGTACAATGAAACATATCCAGCATTTTCGCAAAATTATAAAATTTGATTTTGCGGATTTTATATTTTTTGAGAACCCCTATAAGTTGAAATAAACATCTGTAAATATGTAATGCTGAAGCAAAAAGAACAATGCTACGCGTATGTTTCAAAAGAGTTTTTACTTTAGAAAATTTTATGATGACCTCAATCATCATCTTTGTAAGAACACGTATTTCAACCTAGGTTGGTGCAGTAATACTAACAATAACGTATTATATCTCCCCCCACTGCCTCTGCCAATCCATTTATTTGCAAGCGTCGCATCATGACAGCCCCTAACGACTTTGTGACAGTAAGGTGGTCCTCCGCCCTCCACAGTTCTTGTCGCAGGTTGAGAAGAACATTTTCTAATAACCCCAGCAAATCATTTCCCAAAAAATTGTCGATACCTGTGCCTTCAAAAAAACTATGGGCCACTTTCGTAATCTCTAATAATACCAGCCCACACGTTTACGGAATAAACATTTTTTAAATGAGCTGTTCTGATCCAACGTAGGTTATTTTGGGAGTAATAGTGATAGTTGTGCCGATTAACAACCCCGTTATTGCCAAATTGTTGGAAACTAATTAATGAAATAAAATAATTAAATGAATCTTGCTTCATCGCTAGACAAAACCTTGAATAAAAAATTGTTGTTCAACAGTAGCTGATTTTGCAAAATTACAATATTGAATTCTTCTGGGACAATCTTCTTCTTTCAGATCTTAAACTAATGTCACTTGTGCTATAAATCTTTGACTGACATGCGGATCATTGCCTACGGCTTCAATTACGCGAATTTTATTTTCTACACCAGTAGCGGTGCAACCTCTATTTCTTGTTTCTAATTTTGTCTCAAAGTTTTCTTTAAACATCTGAAGATTTGGTCGGGTGGATGTGACCTAGCAGGACATCCTTCTGCTTACGTGGAGATTTGTTGCTGCAACAGCATTTCTTCCGCATTCTCCAAAAATTAGGTCATATCAGCCTTTCATCGTTAGTGCATCTAACCCACTCTTATTGCAAAGACTAGAAACTTCTCCGAACTCAAAATTGGCAATAGAATTATTGCAAAAATCAAAATTAACTACTAGGCAACTATGTTTGTACATTTTATAAAAATAAATTTATAAAAAGAGTTGCATATGAGATATGTAATTTGTGTTATACTGAAAGTTGGTCAGGGTCGGTTATTATAATATTCACCCTGTATATGAATTTGTCTCTGTGTTAAACATTAAAAAGATCAGATATATCAATATGAACATCCTTCATCAAGAGGTTAAACGGCATCGATTTTATATGGATTTTTTTTATCAACAGACCTGAATGGTTCTGATAATAGCCATTAGTATGCAAAAAATTAAAAATGTAAGATTGAAACATGGTGCCTGATTCCCTGATTATTATAAATGTTTAAAAATCATTGGTACTCGTATTGATAGACAAATAATCTTAGGTTTTCAGGGTCAATTTTCTGGAATCCTTTTGAGAAATTGAATGTTTTCTTTATTCGCTTATTCCAACTCAGTTTCACTAAACATCACAAACTCCATTTTATCAACATTTATCTTCATATATCTTTTGTAACAATCACATCGATAGTAAACATTCATTAATCAAAATTAACAAACTTCGATTAAATTACGCTTGGTCGTTAAAACAAATTGTTATGTAGTTAATTAGTTTCTTCTGGTAATACATCAGGTCGTCTTTTATTTTCTATCTTAACCCGTAAGCGCGCGCGTCTCCTTTGGTCGCGTATAAGCACTCGCGATGGGTCAAAGCGCTTTCACGGACGTTTCAGTTGTGTCTATTAAAACTAAACTCAATAAAATACTTTTAATGCCTTTGAATATGAAGTATAAATCTATATATATAAAAATGGATGTTGGTATATATATCTGTGATCGATAGACTCCGAAATCGTTTGGCCGATCACCATGAAATTTGGCACATGTAAGTGGTTTTTCATGGAGAAGGTTTTTGTGGTATCCGCTTTGCTGTAACTAGCCACTAGATGGCGCTACAGCACATCAACTTCTACACCGTTCAACCGATTCTCATAAAAATTGGTACACGTTGGCATTTGACTATGGAGAATATTTTCGCCCTATCCATTTTGCTGTAACTCGCCACTAGATGGCGCTGCAACACATCAACTTCTGTACCAATCAACCGATCCTCATGAAAATTGATATACGTTGGTATTTGACCATGGACAATATTTTCGCGCTATCGATTTTGCTGTAACTTGCCACTAGATGGCACTGCAGCACATCAACCTCTCTGTTAAAGTATTATGAACTTAGAGAATCAGCGGCACCCATATATCTAATACTACTATGTTGCTATCAGGCCTCAAAAGAGTCCGAAAACACAACGGCAGAGCAATATATCGGACCTCTTTGTCTCTCTATAGTACCAAACAGTACTGCTCATATACTCGATAACGTGACTAGATGTGTTTTGACATTTCATACGTTCGCTTCTATTTTGTGTACGTGCGCACAGACCCTCGGTACTTTTCTAGACAGAAAACAATATCTTCCGTCTCCCTTTGTCCGTGAACACCGTTTCTATGTTACTTCTGAAGAGTTAGCAAGTATTAGATATATGGCGGCACCAATGACAGCATTGTTTTCGTTGGTATTACAACAAAAATCGTATTGACCGCAAAAGAAAATCATTAGTGATGTTCACTGTCTACAATCCTCAGTAATAACAAAGAGTGAATTACTAGAGATTATTGAAAATGCCACCCAAAAAATCAAACTGATTCCGCGCATTCCAATGATTCCTACTGATTTGCCCTTTACATTCAAACGACTACAGTTTCCTGTGCGTCTTGCTTTCGCGATGGCAATCAACAAAGCCCAAGGGCAGTCTCTGCGCGTTGCCGGATTAAATTTAGGAAATCCATGTTTTTCGCATGGTCAACTGTATGTTGCTTGCTCCAGAGTAGGAATTCCAAAAACTCTGTACGTCTATACACCAAATCGAAAAACCAAAAATATTGTTTACCCACTAGCGTTACGATAGATGTTAGTATTGATTAAAATGTGTTCAAGTTGTTTCAGTTATATAGCGAATACAATAGTCAAAAATTTTGTTCATTCACGTGAATTACTAATACAAAAATGTGTACATTGTGTATGCTAATGAAAATAAATGGAATAGCATCAATATGAGTTATCTTATTATTCAGTTTTCTACAACGCATTCTGCGCTCCAGACCATACATATATACAAAGTAAATATATACACAAGCAGGACAACGTCTGCCGGGTTCCGCTAGTATCATATAAAGTAAAAATTTTGTTTAAAAAAAATTATTGCAAAAAAAATTACATATTTGTCGGCTGGCATAAAATGCAGGTAATTGGTATGGGTCAACGCAGATAAGAATAATTAAGGAATTCATGAAACCGGAAGCCCATAGGAATTAAGCGAAAAAAGATATTTGACAAAATGTACGGCTTGGGACATTTTTACCCACGCGCTTACGGGTTAATTCAGCTCAAATTAAAAAGTTTTTTTTTTTATTTTAGTGGGAGCACATTAATAGTTTATTACGATCAGCTTAAAATAAAGTGAACTTACCTATCAAATATTCTGGCTTCCTTTAATACATTTCCAAGATTGATGTAAGCATCCAAAAAATTTGGATCCAATCCAACCGCTTTTTCAAAATGATGAATTGCAAGCCATATTTCGCCCTGAGCGTTGAAAACGCATCCAAGATTACTCCAAGCCACCGCAAAATCAGGGCGAGTTTCTATAGCTTTCAAATAACATGCCTACATCAGAAATTCAAAATGAGTTTAATTGATCAAACAGTATAGGTTCGCTAGCATCCAACAGTCGAGGCCTCTCCAAAGTAGGAAAAATTATAATCGCATAAAGCAATCAACGCATAAAAAGATCCAAAATGAAATTTACGCTTCCGCCAAACAGAAAAAAAAAGAAAACCAATTAAAACCACGACACACAAATTACGCACGGCTGCGATGAAAGCGCTTGTAAGGTAATGAACAATTTACGCAAGCAACTGGCGCACAGAGAGGCCTCAGTCCAATACCTAAAAACAAAGATATATGTCTGATTGGCTGCGTATATTACCTGATACTAAGCCCAATGTTTACCAGAGCGAATCCATGATGAAGCTTGGATCAGTTGCCACATACCTGTATATTTGTACAGCAACAGTAATACCATTAGTCAGTATTTTCATTGTCAAAAATGACGGCCACACATAAAAAAATCACCAAAATTATTGGAATAATCTCCAACTACAAAATAAGCTGACAAAAATGTAAGTGATTAATTCGTATATTCATTGTAAATCTACTTATAACATTAAAAATTATTATTCAAATAATGGCATGCTATGGACATAAAGAACGTCGAGCAACTGATAAACCAACAGGTAACTTCTAGTAAACGCAGTCCATAAAGTTGTACAATATTGAAATATATCTGAACTAAACAACAACAAAAGTAATAATTATAACAGGACTAGACTGAAGAAGAATTGCGTTCTTTTAGTCGTAACTTTTCATTCGTTTAAATTGTTAAATCCACACTTTGTATGAGCAGTATATATTATCGGAAATTTGTGTAAAACTATTACATTTAATTAAATAATAACTTATCTCGATCATATTTTGTGTTCGAGTGTGTTTTTCAATACATAATGTATTATGTTCATTAGCAAATCTTTATCCAAAACTCTTCAAAAATAAAATCAAATTTCAATGAAATTAAGAATATCAGCCATCATAAGGATGGCATGTACATCATCGTCCTCATGTCGTCAACTAGATGCAGCAATGAATACCATCAATAATATAATATACAATAAACAAAAATAAACAAAAATAGGCTTCCTTTGTAATAGGTTTGTTCGCTTTTAATATGAGAACACATTTTATTCCAACAAATTTCGCGAATATTTTCATATTTTCTTCGACACTTGGTAAAACAAAACGCAAAACTTACTTATAGCACGCATACGAAATTTTACAAAAAAAAAAAAAAAGAAAACAGATCAAATGTGCACACAAAAACAAAGTATATCCCACCTGTGTATATAGTTTTTTAAATGTCAAAGGAACAAGCAAGTGTTCTTAATTTTTTTAATTGAGAAGTGAAATTTAAGCTAAGTGCCCCCATTCTGTGAATTGCTCTAACTGATGTGATAATAATGTAATTAAACCTTCAAAATTCAACATAATATTCACAGAATACAATTGAATTTTATGGTTATAGCTTTCCATATCTTTTTTTAATGAATGCTACAATACATGAACGAACACGTAAAAAGATATGAGAAAAAATTAATAATCATAAAATACAAACATATAGAAACGAGTTAGCACCATTATGAAATTTTAAGTTAGGACGTAAACAACGATAACGGCAAAAACTGAAAACTACAACAAATGAAAGTTGTATCACTTAAAACTGGCAACACGACGACAGTTGATTTACTTCCTTCACGGTACGTCTTGTCTGGTAAGAACCCACCTTTCCTAAAAACTATTTCATGATGAATTGATTTATTGTGTCGATAGTCACGGTAAATACAAAAGTAATGTAACGTCGGCAACCGTATCTAGCACAGTGGATATCCGTTTTCAAGTGCTGTAATCATGTGAACCATTTTATAATACAATGAATAACGTACATCCAGCTATAAGTACTTGTTGATATTTACGCAAATGCTATCTATGTGTTAATTTTTTACTATTCAGTAAAAATTTAACACACTATAATACGCGCAATATTGAAATATTCTACGCCATGCGCCTTCAATAGAAATATTCATGGATAATACATAACTATGGCAAATATATCATAAGTCAAAAATAATCCCTCTTTGTCGCAAATAAGAAAGACAAATAATTTAGAAAACATAAATAAAACTTGACGCATATAAACTACAACGGTAAAAAAAAAAAACTACAGCCAATTTCACCAGCTACTTGCAATCTGAAATTAATTTGGTACATACTTGTATTGATTATGCATTTTGCATGTAGTTTTCACGCAATTTTCAAACCAATTAATAAATAAATTACATATATACAAAAAGTTATCTTGAAAATAATTTCAATTTGAAGTCAACTTTGTACAAGTATGTAAAAGTCTATTTTGCGAGGTTAAGAACCAAAAAGATAAAAAGATTGATTGGACTAATTTTCTTCAAGCTTGCAGCGTGTGATTTTTTATATTTCTGCTCTAGATGGGCATGACACGTACGTCAACACTGCAATTGGTGTAAGCGTCATGGCCAACTAGAGCAGAAATTTAAAAAATCCACAATGTAACATGTTTGTTTTTAAAGATTCATATCGGCGTTGTTTAAATAAGGTTGTAATGACAAGTTATAATTAATTATCTCTAATTAAAAAAACAAGTTGTAACTTATATGTGCTTAACTGCATATACATTTTCTACCTTAGTTGAAAGTTCACATACGAGGGAAATATTTTTGAGAAGAAAAAAAGTATAATCGAGTTGTCCCAACTATTTTGTACACTTGCGATAATTGTTTTACAAACAAGGTCATTTCAAAAAAACATGTGTTACCAACGCAAAAAAGTCTAATGTTTTAAAAGCTTGTTAATCGCATAATTGTCAAAATATTTGTCATGGTCTATCTTAGAGCGACATATTCGATAAAATGCATTCTAAAGCTGACATATCGTCGATCTGATTTTGGACAAAATAGTAGATAATAAACAACAAATGTACCGCATAATTGGGACTACTCGTAATTATACAGTGTTATGAAACCAAGCTAACATTATACAGGCCACAAAAATGCCTCATTAGAGTTGAAATTTTTTATATCAAGACTTCATGGTAATATTTTATCTATTATGAATGTACTACCTAATTCTAACATGTCTTTTTCTAAAATAACAGTTCAAACATACAACATATCGCATATTACTTTCGTCTTCAACCTAATAGCCGAAAACAGTAAGCAAGTATAATGTACACCAACTTCACAGTACTTGTTTTAAAAAGTATATACCGTCCCAACATCTAATTTTAAGGCTACGACACATTAAGTTTGTAACTAATAAGCAGTGTTCATTAACCATTTTCTCAAACTTAAAATTATTTAGATGATAAGGTAAACATTAACAATAAAATGACTTCTTTTTTCTGAAATTGGAAACTAATTTTTAGTATAATACTTTGGTACGGAAGCATATAACAGAAAATATATAGGTATACTATTTTTAAGTTTTTTCAGTAAGCATCTAATCATCATTAACCTATTAAAAACTGAACATCAAATTTTAATGAAAAACCAAAACAATGAGGCCTGATATATTGTTTTAAAATTCTTATTTCAAACGAATTAATTTTCGAATCTAGTGAGCTTGGTTACATACTTCTAGAGTTTTATGTATTTGTGTTTGAATAGATACATACGTTTATATGTATATATTTTATAATAGAATTGTATTTCCAGTGACGTATATATTGAAAATATACAATAAATATTTCATCTTTTATTAATAACTAAAAAGGGTTCGATGGCGCTCATGTTTTTTTAAGAACTCGCTTATGGTTAAAATATATCAACATCTTGGCTAAATAGTAATTTTTCGATAATTAAACTTTATGATGGCATCAATTGATTTGATCAATAAAATAAACTGATTCATAATTTTTTTCAGTCCCCTTGGACGAAGTAATTTTAACAAATATGAATGTTTTGATAAATCACAAGAAGAGACTTATAATATTTTGCATATTTTAGATAAAATTTATCCGACAAAATTTTGAGATGACGTCATACGTTTTTGGAGAGGATAAACAGATAAATTTTGAGTTGCAAGAATGAAATGGACAGTACGTCAGTCCATTGATCCTGAAATGTTAGGGCGCGTGAAATGTTTTTTTATGAACAGAATTGATTTGCTTGTGAGCAAAAACAGGCTGGTCACATCGAGAATGTTGTTGAGGGCATGTTTTACAGAAAAATAATAACCGTGTATTGTCTTTATAGATGCAACAATGGCATTGATGTTTCAAAAAAGAAAAGCAAACTTGGATTCATGGCACTTTAAAAATTAAATTTTTAATCAAAAAGTAAACGGATAATGTATATTGGAGTGCCCATTATAAAGGGGTAAGTGGTTCATTTAACTTGAATCACCTTGTACACAATTACAGGCTTTTTAACGTCAGTCCCCACTAGCATATACATAGAAGTTAGTGGAATTACAAAAACAATAAACAAATTCAGCGATATTAAATTAAATTTGATTATTGTACAAATGAATATCATAATTATGCTGATCTTTTCCATTATTTTCCTTGTTGTTAATCCGCGCCCTTACGCATCGCGTAAGCATATACATGTTTACATTTTAATTTAAAAAGATCCACATCATTTGAAGATTTAAGAGCATAACAGATATCCTTCTCATTTCTATTCAACATTTCAGTCTTGTTGGTGGTACTCCAGCAGTGAGTATTATATTTCAAACCATAAGCAAGATTTTACCAAGATTAAGTGCTTAATATTTATTTATTACAGACATCTATGACCACTGCGTTAAATACAAAACAAGAATGAAAAATATTCACCTCATATCTATTCAAGTCAGTTTGGTTTCAATAAATACATCACTTTCAAAAATAATATTATTACATAAATACAGATAAAAATATTATCAGACTAAAATACTTTCAAATAAACTCTTTTTATCGTACAAATTAGAATTATATATTTAAAATAAAATAGAAAAAAAAAACATACCTTGGCCTCATCTAAACGACCTAACGCTTTTAGAAGATTACCCAAATCACTACGAACGCAGTAGAGATCCTGCAAAATCAACATACATTAATTATTATAAATTATACCGACTGTCTATTAAAGACAAATTTTTGTGTTCTCAATTCTCAATTATTGGTAACGATGCTAACATGTCAAACGTGATTAGAAGATGGCAGCTACAGACTTGGGTAACATTTAGGATTTGACAATCAGGTAGCACCATAAATTTTAAAGGAGGCCACATGCACAGAGTGAAGAGTGTGCAGTTAAAAGTGTGCACGCTTGTCCTAAGTTAAACCCGTACTCTCTAATTGCACACAGAGAGAGAGGGAAGACTGTGGATTCAAAAGTGTGTCGTAAGTTATTATACCCGTACTATCTAAACGGCGCAACTGAATTTAAACTCAAACGTGCAGCGACTTGTGTCCACACACTGAGTTCAGACTTGACTGCACATGCCACATTCTTTCCCACACACTATCAGTTTTAACTGTACCCCGTGGGATGTACTATCACGACCAAAAAAATTCAAACACCGAACCTGCTCATGTCATCGAGTTTTAATTAATTTTTCAATTGTATTTGTTAAATTTATTTTGTGTCTGCTTTAGAATGAACGCCTCTGATTTCCTGACGTCTTTTAACATCAACGTGACAGAGAAATTGCACTTACAATTGAAAAATTAAATAAAACTCGATGACATGAGCAGGTTAGGTGTTTGAATTTTTTTGGCAGTGATGGTACATTCAAGTCTTGACTCTTCCCTCTCTGTGTGTGGCCGCCTTAATACGTTGCCAACCTGACATAAAAACATTAATTAATATATTAACATGAGGTGCACAAGTCCAGTCCGGATGCAGTTAGGTTGGTAATGCCATTCAATGTCTTGCAACATAAATGGTGTTTGCACGAGGTCACTATTGGCAACAATAATTCATAGATGTTGAATGGATGGTGTTGTGTTCTAGCAAAATTAACAGAAGTAGCATAAACATTCATCAATAATTAGTAAATTCATAAGTGACATTGACGACGGCTGCAATGACACTAGTATTAACTATAAAGTTAATGACCCCACAGGTATCATAGTCTCCGAAATACTACAAAGTTATATGGCTGTTGCAAAACTAGGGTATTGTGGACACGACAATGGAATAGTTAATAAGGCAAACCCACAGTTGTTAATCTTTGCGACTGTTTAAGCGGATTACCCAGCAGTAGACATTCAGGTGGCAAAACAAATGCTTGTTTTATGACACCAGGCTTGAGTCGGTAACCAGCCACACAAAAGGAATTATAACATCCCATTATTAAGTTTAGTTAGGCCATATAACCTTGTAGTATTTAGTAAGCCAGAAAACACATTTACGAAGTACAATGAACAAAGGTGGAAACTGGGTGGTATCTTTTTTTTCTTGCTACACTCGCTACACTCACATTCACACTTGGGGATTCTTAAAAGCAGGTTAGAAGATGGACATAATATGCAACCCGTGTCACTGGCATCATGTTATACCGGGTGTATGGAAAATTGCGGAGTAAGTAAGGTTATTCATTAAGTCCCTATTGTAACTACAACATATTCTAAAGACGAATTTAACATTTTAACATTGAAACACAGCACGTGATTAACTGAGCTTAACACAAAGCTTACTCCAATAATATGAGAATGATTAAAATTCTACATTTTGTGAAAAACAAATGTAGAAGATTCACTTTTTTAAAACTATACTTACTGGGTTGTACTGCAAAGCCGTAATGTATGCCTGAACGGCTTGTTCCATGTCACCTGCCGCAACCAGAGCTGCTGCCAAGTTGATATAACCATCAATAAAATCAGGCTTAAGTCGCACCGCATGCCGATAGTTATCAAGAGCTTCTTGTAATTGTCCTCTTTCTTTATAGACATTTCCCAAATTGCTGAAACGTTAACATTTTAAGAAAAAACAATATATGCAATTTTAAATCTTATGATAATTGTGTATAAAATTTTATCTACAACTGTTGAATTTTTTACAAATGGAATGAACCAATTTTGCTGTTCTCAATCATGGACCATCTACTCTCGGATAAAAATTTCGTGCATATTAATTCGAAGTAGCAGCTGAATCTCATTGTTCAAAACGATAGAAACATACTTAGCAACAATATAAACAGTAAACAAATTTTGTCATAACCAATTTTGCTTTTTGTAAAATTTTGTAACATCTTCAGAATGAGTTCGTCAGACAATTTGTCCTCAGATGTAGACGAAGCTGCTGTGAATGTTATTTCTGGTCTTGTTCCTCAGAAACCACGCGAAAAATATCGGCAAACGTTTGGACGATATGAAAAATGCTGCAACGAACGAAAAGTTAAAGACTTAACAAATGAACAGGCCTTGTACGTATATTTTGATGAATTCAGCAAAAGTAAAAAAACATTCTTCATTATGGTGTTAATATTCTATGTTGAAGATAGAATTATCAATTAAGAAAAATGTTAATATAAAGAATTACGCAAACTTGATTGCACTGTTGAAATGAAGTCAAAGGGACATATACCAACAGGTCTAGAGTGTTAACTAAGGAAAATACACTGTTGTACAAAAAAACGCAGGCACCTTTATATTTGTATCTTTAATGATAATAATAAATGAAACTTTAAAATTAATATTAAGAAAGTCAACACTGACTTCAACTTCCTTTTGATTGATGTTTCCTCCTGGAACTTGCAAAATAATTTTTACGAAATTTTATTCATTCCAGAAATTTGTATTAACTTTTGAACTTATTCAGTTTAGTCTGGCTACTGGTTGTTACTGCCGTTATTGTTTATGTCTTTCGTAAAATAATCTGGTCTTGAAACTTTTGCTTGTATAAAATAAGGCTGAAGAAATGGTAAAAGTAGTACAGCACTCCCAGTTTAAGGTGGTTTTTATGACAAGATAATAAACATTATCACTTCATTATTACCCCACGACAGACAATATGAGTTGAATAACGAAGTACGGCCCTGCAAGAAACCGACCACTTTATTTATGGCTAGGGATTTACTCCACTGTCACCATCATCAACTTCGACACAATGGACCTATCATAAAAACCACTTTAAACTGGGAAGACGATAGCTCTTCATGATGATGGTGCTAGCGTGCGATATGTTGCTAATTCCTTAAATTTAGCAAAAAGTACTGTGCATGATAAGCTAAGACAATTTCAGGAAAGTGGTTCTTACAAAAAGAGACAAGATTCTGACCGAAAGAGGTGTACCGCAGAACGGGAAGAACAATTTACGCTCCTTTTCATTTTGAGATGTCGTCGTACAAGATCCATTATTGGCACAACGATTAAGAAACTTGCTTGTATGGCACTACTGTTTCTGCAAGAATAGCCTGCAGAAGACTACGGGAAAACAATTTATCATCTCTAAAGCCTGTCACCGGCCCAAAACTGTTGGCAGAGCATCGACAGCGAAGATTAGAATTTGCGAGAGAACATCTTGATTGGACAATCGACCAGTGGGAAAAGGTTCACTTCTCAGATGAGTCCAAATTTAATTTAAAATCATCAGATGGGCGATAACGGGTTTGGAGAAAATGTAAAGAACGTTATTATGCACAGTGCGTGCCTCTTTGATCTCAGAACACCGTATGAAGGTCGAGGTGTTATGTAAGATTAAGTAATTATGGAAAGAAGAAAAATAACAACTCTGAGGTACATTACCGACTATTTAGTAGACTGTGTTGTACCACACGCACCCTTCGTTTGTCCGGTTTTGATTTTTATGCACGACAACGCCCTTCCACGTATTGCGATTATTTGGATGAGGTTGCTATCAGTATGAATTGGCTAGTGCGTAGTCCAGATCTAAATCCCACAGTATGTCTGGGACGAAATGGGAAAACGCATTAGGAGGCGTGAAAACGTTCCAGAAACAGTTCATGAACTACAACGTACTCTTTGGAAAGAATGGGAACAACTGGTCAAGACATAATAGTCAACCTCATCCGAAGTATGCCACAATGCTTACGTGCTGTAATTGAAACTCAAGGAGGTAATTCCGGGTTTTTTTGTCTAGCAGTGTTCATCAATATTTCTAGAAGTCCAATGCAAATTTTTATGGATGAAGGTAACATTTAAAAAATAATATATCTTTCTCTACAAATGTATTCTTTAAGGTTGTGTTAATCTTTGACCTGGCTAGAGCCTGTAGCATACAGAAGTTAACGTATTTGCTATTGGAAAATATAAAAGACGAAAGAGCATGTTTCCAAGTTTTGATTCCAAATAAAAAAACAAAAATATCAAAATATTTGTTTATAACTTCTGTATTAGTTCGTCGTCACCGACCTGATAGTTATCAACCGAATGTGATGGCATTAATTTGTTTCACTGTAAAAATTGTATTATCAATGTACATAATAATAAACAGCCCATTTCTTTGATTTTTTTTTTTTTAGTCACTGATGCGAGTGCGACTTCAAAATATGAGCGCACGCGTGCGATAATCTAAAAATTATAGCATGCTTGCAATAATTGCAAACAACACGTTATCCCAGTGAGTGCGATTTATAAGATATATCTTACGGTTATACATAAAATTATAAAAGTCGATAGTAAATTTATTTTCTTTATCTCAAACTTGGTTGCGCTACCATGAGAAATGTCGGAAAGCATCTACAACAGTCTCAAATTTGTATTTATTGACACAGAGCAATTATCCCAAAAAAATGTTTTGCATCACTGTATACCGGCCACAAAGATACAGTGCGTTTATGGCTTTGATGTTTACAATATATAAATGTCAGATACGCGAAAGTTCGTACTATTAACGTTTGAAAAACATTTATGGACCACTGCTATTTTGTTGTGAAAACGTCTATATAGATTCGCAACGAATTTAACCCTTCGTTGTACACTAATTTCTAAGTAAATATGTAATTTCCTAATATGTACTGCAGGTAAATATACTGGAAATTGGTTAATATAGGCGAAATTAAATATTCACACTTACAGTATAATCCAAAACTTTTCAAATAAACGGAGACTGTGATGAGAGCAGTAAGCTCGTCCTAGTTCTTTCCAATAAACTTTCGGTGTCTATCATCGCCAACGTGCGCTCATCACAACCTCCCTTTATCTGGAAAGTTTTGTTATCACATGGTATTTTATAACTTAAACGTTAAAAAGTGGAATACTTAAAAACCCCTGACACAAAAACAACATAAAAAGTCTGAAACTAGTTAAGAAGACTGATTCCTTCACTACTGAGTTGAGGGTTAATAAAATGAACTGTCTTAGTTGAAATACCTCTTGCTTGGGCTAACTCACACACCTTCATTCATCCATCAGCCAAAACTCTATTATGAACTTATCAATGATTTCTGGTATGACGGCAGATTATGCCGTCTAGGATGTGGTACGTCGTCGACGGATGTTTTTCGGTGCATGAATTCATTAACTCAAAGGCGAATGGCTTGATTAGAAGAATATAAATCGCCCAGTATAGGAAACATTCTTTCATAGATTTCTTTAGTAATTTTTCCTTCCAAAAATAAGAACTGAGTCACAGTAGGAATTGCAATTTTCTCCTCTTTTAAATAATAGTTATTTTTGTTACAAGTACCTAAAACATAGTTTTTTGGGACGAATTTTGCTGTTTCCGGAATAGCAAATGTGTCCCAAAAAACGTTTTAGGTACGTGTTACAAACAATATTTTTTTGTTCAAGTTCCCAAAACACCTTAAAAACCATTTATAAAAACCACTAATTTTGACAAACGAAGCAAATATTTATTGAAAAGTGGGCTAGTGGGCTGCCACCATAGTAACTACAGTGTTTTGTAAACACTACAGTGTTTTGACACGTCAAGAAATTGACACATTTTTGACAAATGCAGACGATATGAAATATTTATTAATAAAGGTAAGTTTAAAAAATATTCTATGTATCAGATAGATTTATTTTTCATTTTGTAGGTTGCCCTTCTTTTTGGTGTGTGTGGTGCATGTAGGCGTGAGGAGCTACATTCACTAAAAATTCAAGATATTGTCCAAAAAGACGAAGAATGTCTAATTATAACAATTCCTGATACTAAGAGCAACATTAAGAGTCTTTCCAGTGATAGCTAAAGGCAAAGCTGTCAATGGCCTGGAATGGCTAGGAGGATGGAAGTAATTTTTTTGCAATATAATTATTGTTTTCTTCTAAATAGTAACAAACTTTAGGTCGTCTTCTGTCGCAGAATCATATATAGAAGAATCTGTTGAAAGGAAGAAGATATGCAGACAGTTATTGGGAGAAAAGCAAAACGAACCATCGACTAACACACTATTAGTTACTACTGAAGCTACTTCCACGACATCATGAGACATCAGCCTGATACCTTCAAGCTCCTCAGGTATTTCGTTTGGACACAACAGTTTTAAGGGAGTTCAAAACTGTTCATTCCATTTTCATTTTGAGAAATAAATATTGTATTGTTGTATCTACTCCTTTAGAATAAATGTGGTTATTTAATTATTGTTTTTATAGTTTTTACTATTCAGTCCCAAAAAGTTGCCATGGCAACTTTTTCGTACTTGTACGAAAAAGACTCATTTTACGGACACTTTTGAATCCCTAAAATAACCATTTTTGGGAGCGTGTACAAAAAACATCATTATGTATGTACACTAGTATTCAATCAATTCCTAAATGAAGAATTACTGACAAAATGACTTGACATTATAGAAACGTCATTTATGGGAAGCCTACTTGAAGTCTCCATATGCAATTACTGCTTTTTTTCTTTCACTCTCCAAGATGATGCGAATCGAGTTATTCATCAAACAACCCTCATAAAAACCTTCCTGATTGAACCAGCTTTCAAAGAAAAGACACCACATTAAAATTGGTTCACCCGTTTGGAGCTACAGTGCCACAAACAGACCACACAGACAAAGGGGTCAAAGTTATAACACCCCTCTTTTTCAGTGGGCTATTAATAGAAACAGTATTTTTCTTAGCCCAACCTTTGCGTATCTAGCTGTTCCTGGTAAATGTCGATGTTTGCAATAACACTATGCAACAAATTAAAAAAAAATAAAATTCACAGAATGCACAGTATGTAGTTAAAATTTCTTACCTCAAACTCAATTGAGGATCATGCTTGAAAGAATCGTATCACATCAGGTTTCAAAGTGAAAAGTGTTTATTGAATTTTTTGAAATCATACAAAATTAATAAAACAAAACTTCATTTTTCATTGAAAAAGGTCTTTTTTTTTGAACGATTGGCATTCTTAATGTAGCCAGATCTCGCAGTATCCCTCTGCAGACACCAACAGAAGTCTGCAAGCATGGGTGGATACATAAAAGCGATATTTTTACGATTAAATGCAATCAAGTGTCCCAAAAAGTAAGAAAAACAAAACACCCGTTAGCTATGTTTTGTGATGTGATATGAGTATAAAACATTTTTTTCTTTAGTATATGGAGTATAGGTATCCAACATATCACATCAGGTATCACAATGAAAAATGTTTATTGAATTTTTTGAAATCATACAAAATTAATAAAACAATACTTCATTTTTCATTGAAAAAGGTCTTTTTTTTTCGAACGATTGGCATTCCTATTATAGCCAGATCTCGCAGTATCCCTCTGAAGACACCAACAGAAGTCTGCAAGCATGGGTGGATACATAAAAGCGATATTTTTACGATTAAATGCAATCAAGTGTCTCAAAAAGTAAGAAAAACAAAACACCCGTTATCTATGTTTTGTGATGTGATATGAGTATAAAACATTTTTTTCTTTAGTATATGGAGTATACTCAACCTCAAACACTATCTGAACTTCCTGTGAATTTTTTTGTGTTGCATAGTGTAATTATTGTTGAATGTTATCATTATCAAGAGTCCACTACACAAATAAGTAATTTAAACGTCAAAGCCATAAACGCACTACATCTTTCAAATCAGTATACACAACTGTTGTTTTTGTAAAATCATTTCTCAACCAAATTGAGAAAAGAAATATTAGAATATATTGATACTCAACCATATATAACTAAAAATAAAAGTACCTGTATGCTTCTGCCAACAATGGATTCTGCTTAATTGCTAGTGTACTAAAATGTGCAGATTTGTCAAGGCGTCGACACTGAAAATGTATGCTTGATAATAGTAACAACACCCCAGTATTTGTTTGGTCCTGTCTCCATAGTTGCATGCAGTGCCTTTCTGCATTTTCATAATCACCAGCTTGATATTCTCGATGAGCAAGCTCAAGTAAACCTTAAAATTGAAAACTGCATTTTCAAAAAATACAACTAATAAGATTACTTACCGACTGAAGACAGTTGAGGAATATCGTTCATTTTTGCATACAAATGAATTCGACGAATTTCTATGTCAGACAATGGATCCCTGAAACGTCAAAAATAAAACGTTTAAAATGCTGAAACACCAGAAGATATTAAAAAAACAAAGTACTAATTTTATAATCAATTCCTTGAAACTAATTAATGTAACTTTTTGCAATTAACATAGATCAAACTATGAATTAAACCTAATTTGAAGACCTCCGCATTTATAAGCTGATTAAAACAAAATCAATTTAACTCTAACCAACATTTAATATCATTCAAAATTTATCAGATAACAGATTATTGCTATTGTTTAGTCAATTGCTCCCGCATATATAAATTACCATGCAGCTCACTTTTTGTAATTAAATTTTCATTAAGAACACATTGAATCATTTAGGTGTAACTTTTCCTTTGGACTTTTCAAATCTGTTTCCATGACACAAGTTGCACCTGTCTTAAATTTAGTGTTATGATAACAAACATGTGTTGTTATTATTATTACTGTAATAAAAATTTAGACAACTGTGACGCTTACTTAAACTTCAAAATCCAAGGGACCATATCTAGAAAATCACCAAACTTCGTATTGAATGTGTAGTTTTGGATATTTTGCTATTAAGCTGAGCAGATTGGAATATTGTCGACAGAACGTAGATCAATTATAGGTCGGAATGCGTATTTTTAAATCTCTAAAAGAAGTGCCATTCCCGCGCAATACTGTTTTAAGTTTAATTATCCGTGTTTAGGTCAATTATTAACGTTATTTCATGATCCCAAAATAGAATTCCGACACTCATCATTGGCTGCTGTAATACCATTGAGATCAGTGGAAAAAAACGACTCATGTGTGCACCGTGCATACGACAGATTATACCATATTGGCCAATAGCTATGCCACAGATTGAGAAAACTTACTTTTTTTCGTTTGAGCGAATGTACGACACAAAATTCAACGTTTATATTAACTTCAGATTCGGGTATTCACTACAAGCAGTTGTACACCAAAGACGCTTGCATAAATCACAAGCAAAAGTTCCATCTGTGGTGGTGCGTGCTACTCGTATTTCACTTCGATCACAAACTTCGTTTCAGATAACAATGGCGTACCTTACAGCACAGCCGCACATTAAATGTCAACACTTTCCGTCATTTACTTATGCACTTATAGGCGTTCTGAACAAACTTGGAATACTTTTTAAATATAACTACGTTTTTTTTTTGTTGTGCTTTACGATATACTTCTAAAGTATGCCAAAAACGGATCGAATACTTTCACGCATGTACGTCATTTCGTTGTCCATAAAGTAGAATGTCATAATGTCAAAGACTTGGTAATTTTTATAAAAAAAAAAACTCCCCATGTGAAGACGTGACTAGAAACCATGGAGGAAGGAATATAATTATATTCCTTCCTGCATGCTAGAAACTGCTATAGACTAGAAACTGGCGACCATTTTCCACCCTACATGCGGAGTAAGACCGGGAAGTTTAAAAGCAATTTTATTACATAATAAAGGCTAATTATTCATCAAATGCAGAGCACAAATACCACCTACTTTTCACTTAACGACTTATTACTATAATCTCAATTTTAAAAAATCGGTTTAAAGTTACATATTTAGACAGAACTTCCCTCGTCTCTGAAATACAGGGGAACAAATACAGATTTTTCAAATTATAAAATTGAATTTGGAAATTAATTTTTTGACGATAACCTAATAACTTAAAATAAAGATATGTGTGGACTATTAAAGTATAGCTAAACGAGCATACTATGCGAAGTTTCAAGTGAGTTTTTTTATAACAAAATTTTGTGATGACGTCTTCCAACACTTTATATCAAGGACAACATAGGTACATATCAATTTGAATAAGTACAGTGTATTAATACCAAGAATAACAGTATTGTAACTAAGATTTTCTAGAAAACGGGCTAAGCTGTTCTTGATCAATAAATTTGATTGCCACATACAATACTTTCATTGTGATCCTGTATAAGTAATTCTAAAAAGTATGGATGCATTCATAGACCACAAGTACAGATTTATCATATTTTATGGATTTTAGATAGGACTTATTCGGCAAAAATTTTCAGATGACGTCATCAATTATTTGGGTGGGGATAAACAAAAATCTAGATGTCTATTCTATATAATTTAAATAACATTTACTATTCTAAAATTTGGCGATGATGTTATTCCATATTGTATTCCATTTGGGGATGATTAAACAAATTTTGGTAACGTTTTACCATCGACACTATATTCCTAATATACATATAACATTTGATGACAACCGCTCCGATAGTTTCAGAGATAATCTGTCTGATAAAAAACCAGAGAGGACAGATAGACGGAAACGGCAGACCTATTTTTTTGTATTCTAGGGGTTATGAAACGTGGAGAAACCTGAACGTAACCATTCGTCCGATGGACCATATTATGTACAATACTTCCTTAGCTTACGCTTGGGAAGTAAAATTTAGTTTAAAAGTTACTTACACAGAACTCCCTTCACCCCTGAAGTGCAGGAAACAGGTCGACATATACAGCTTTTTCGAAAAATTATAAAATTGATTTTGCTAATTTAATTTTTTTTTGATAACCCTTATAAGGTAAAATAAAAATTTATGCGTAGTGTTAAAATAAAGGTACAGAAGCATGCTATGCGTGTGTTTCAAGTGAATTTTCCATTACAATATTGTGATGATGTTATCATTGCAGTATTACTATTGATACTAATAATAGCAGTACTATATTCCCAAAGTTTCTATAAAATAGGATGAGCCGTTCTTGAATTGATCAATAAAATAATCTGCCTCATTCATATTTGTTTGTCAGTCACCTGTATAAGTAATTCTAAAAAATATGAATGCAGTGATAAACCCCAAGCATAGACTCATAATATTTTATACGTTTTAGATAGGAGCCGCCCTGTATAGACAATTCTAAATTAAGTACGTCTTCAGAATGTACAAACTTTCTATATTAAAATTAAAATTACATCTTTGATCGCTTATAAAGTACGGAGTTGAAAATTCATAACATACGACATTGAGAATTTACGAAGTAGGGTGTACGTCGTTAATAAAATAGGACTTCACGAGTAAAAAAAGTTAATCGGATTCATAAACCACAAAGATTGGACTGTTATTTTATAAAATTTTAATAATATACCAAGCAAAAATTTTAAGATGACGTCATCAAATTCTTGTGGGGATTATCAGACAAATTTTGGTCAGCGTTTATGGTTTTACCATCTACACATTCCGAAAGCATATACAATTTCGTTACAATCTGTCATTATTATGTGTCTAATAAAATCGATACAGCCACACAGAGAGAAATGAGAAACCTATTTTTTCATATTCCGATGGTCAAGAAACGTCTAGAAACATGAAAGTAGCCGTTCATCGGATGGACCCTAGCGCTCGGGAAGTAAAAAACGATCATCTACACAAATAGCTGCGAGGATTTTTTTTTCTAATAAAATTGTCAACAACAAACATATCCGGTTTTTAATATTCTATAACTCTGCAATAGTAAGAAAATAAAATTATATTTTCGTCACACTCGATTTTATTCTAACACCTAGCTGCGACAACCCTGTTCAATGTAGGAATAAAATGATCATTTACAAGTTAAAATCGATTTTACAGAAACTGTGTTCAAAAATCAAAAAGTAAAAATAGACGAGGTGAAGAACAGATATTTCAGAAAAGTTATCACTTCTGCTGAGTTACATTGCACAATTTGGCTCACTGCAGACACTGTGTACATCCATGGATGTAGATTATATGTAGTGTTATTATTATTATTATTATGATAAATTCAGACCACCATTTTTGCAACACACTTATGTGTTGCAAAGAGGAAATTTCCAAGAAACGAATCACAGACAGACAAAGAGCAATGGGGAAACCCCTGTTTTCATACACTAAAACCTTATTTACATTGCACCTCACATTTTCATTAATAACGTACTACTTACAATACTCCCTGTAGCCATCACATGAAAGGTAAAGGAAATAGGTGCTAATCTACTTAAACCCTTGTTAAATATAAATAACCACATTCTCCTACGAACATAAAATTTTAAAAATGACTTCGTCTCTCCAAACTGTTCAAACTTTAAAGCTACTTATATTTATTTCGATACAGTAGATACATTTTAGAGTCATTGTTATACTTATGGATACAATATATACATGTACTATTTTAGGTGTATTACATTAAATGCGTTCAAAATGTGCTTTTTTTCTAGCATATGCCCCTAAACAGGCCAGGATCCCCATGGCACTTAACACCACTCCCAATAACAAAGCCAATGTATCTCCAGCGTCAAACATTTGCCTCAGTAATAACAAACCTGCAACAAAATGAAAACTGTTCAAATAAAACATTACTGTGTTGACAAATAAAATTTGTTAAGTGAGAACTTTAAGGTTAAGGAAGTACATGGTATAGCACCTACTACCTACTTAATAAGTACCTATAACTTATTAACTTCACCCAACATATATCAAATTCTTCATGAATAATTATGGCAAATGTACCAAAATATTACATCTTACCACAGTGGAGAGAAAAAGTTAAGAGGTTGTAATCGTTGGTTATGGGCGCTTATCAAGTCAAATGAGAGATAAAAGACAACCTCCGAGGTCGCTAGCTTCAACCCTTAGATTAAAGAGTTATTAATTACTTACACCTTACACTACTGCTTACTATCAGTTGGAACGACGAGAACAATAATATTAGATTAGGTAGAGCAAAGAGCACTCTCAAAGTTCGATTTAAGGGTTATCTCTCACGTAAAAGCTGCTGACACAATGGAAGACGCACTTTTCCATAATACACACATCTAATTCATGCGAATGTGGGGATGTCACGTGATAAACGCGATATGTTAGGCAGGGAAGTTAGGTATCTTCGTGATACGATTATCACTATTATTCTCAAAGAGAAAACATCATTATTGTATCCCGGTTTAGTTTAGTGAATGTTCTGTATATATCCCTGGTATAAGTGGTATATACTGTAGTTTTGTAATCCCAGTCCGGCATTAATTACAATACCGCGTACCGGGTTTTTCATGAAAAACTACTCGCCTAAAAAATTCAAAACGCAACCAATAATAACTATATAATCACATAGCAGTTTTTGATATTTACCTACTTTCACTATATTTTGAAGCAAGCATTACCGTTTTTTAAATAAGACATACTGTTTGTTTTGATAATTTAAAAATTATTACTAAAATAGGTATATATTTATGCGTTGTGTTGCCCTTTTAACCTTTTTTAAAAAATTGGTCAAAAGTTATTTCGACAGAACTTCCCTCGCCCCTGAAATTAATTATAATGTAACAAATCCGGGTTTTCCGAAAAATTATAAAATTTAATTTTGCGAATTTTATTTTTTTATGAGAACTTTTGTAAGTTAAAATAAAGATATGTATGTAACGCTAAAGTAAATATAAAGGAGTGTGCTGGGCGTACGTTCCAAATGAGTTTTCCCTTCACAATATTTGTGATGACGTCATCAACATTTTTGTAAAGACACGTATATCACTTTGGATAGGTGTCGTGTAATATTAATGACACAGTTAATGATAACAATATTATATTCCCAAATTTTCGGGAAAACGGAGTAAACCGTTCCGTATCTAATCAATAAAATAAATTGACTCATTCATTAATTTTATGATTCAGCCTGTATAACAAATTTAAAAACTTTTAATGCAGTGATAAATCACTCATCATATTTTGCAGCTTGCACGTTTTAGACAGGATTTATTCGGCAAAATTTTGAGATGACGTCATCAATTTTTTAGGTGGGGATAAACGAATAAATTTTGTTTAACGAGTTACCCATGGTACAAGAACGATTTACCATGATTATGTTAACCTTAAAATATTTAAAAGATTTCAGAGCAATCGGTTTTGAAATTTCAAGCTTAAATTGCAAAATATTGTTATTTAGTTTTGAATGTTTTCCAAAAATTCTGAATGTCTACGGTGAACATTCGACACGGATTCACACACCACAAGTATAGGAATATCTTATTTTATGAAATTTAAATGAACTTTTTATTATAAATTTTGGAGCTGACGTCATCCCATTGGTGGTGGGGATGATTAGCGAAATTTTAGTTAGCATTTAACCATCTATTTCCTAATACACATACAAAATGTGAGAACAATCGGTCCAGTAGTTTCGGAGCTCACTTGTTTAATAAAATGGATACAGACACCAGACAGACAGACAGACAGACAGATAGACGGAATTTTGATTCATAGCATTGATTAAATACATACGAGTACATTGTATGTAGTTGTTTAAAGTAGTGTGGCCGCCTGGAAGTATGCAACCAGTTATACACACATAATGCAGCCACCGGATTGGCAGTTACAACACGCAAGCCCAAAGAGGAAACACCACGGTGGAAACGTAAAACAGACTCCTTCTTCTCCGACCACTCACCGGGTGCAGACGTCCTCTTCTTCTCCGACCACTCACCGTGTGCAGACGTCCTCTCCTCTTCAAGACCTCCACGTGGACATACACATACAACCTTGGGCCGTGTTATCATTTTTTGTAGTTGGTATTGTAAATAAACCTGTACTAAAACCGTTTCCGTTAGTAATTCGACGACAACAATTACAATTGGTGACCCCGACGTGATCGAAGAACTACGGGTACGAACATGCCGACTGCCGAAGAACTGCAACAGCAACTCGAAAAACAGCAAGAAGCCATCCGGAAGCTAGAGCACACTCCAGCCAGTCACAGACATCGTAGCGAACCCACCAGACAAAGAGAGGTACGACACAATTAAGAAGAAACTGATAGCCGCCTACACCGACTCACAGGAGAAGCAGCTACGAAAGCTGATAAACGAGATGGAGCTAGGGGACCGACAACCATCCCAGTTATTCCGCGAAATGAAGGCACTCGCGGGGCAACAGATGAATAGCGAAGTCATAAAAACGCTCTGGCTACAGCGACTTCCACCACATGTCCAACTCGTGCTGTCTGCGAGCGAGGGAGTACCGCTGGAAAAGATGGCAGAAATCGCGGACAAATTGGCGGAAATACACAGAAGCAACGCTATGGCTTCCAGTATCAACGCGATAGGCGCCACCAGCGACACGACGCGGCAGAACACCATCGTACCAACGCAGGAAACCAACCTCATTACGGTAATAGCAGACCTCCAGAAACAGATGGCGGCCTTATCGGTAGCCGTAACTCATCTAACCAACACGAGAGGGCGCAGTCCACAAGCACGGCAAAATGACAGCCGAAATCGGTCAAGGACACACAGCAGGCAACGCACGGATCAAAATGGCGTTTGTTATTACCACGCCAAGTTCGGTGTAAACGCCCGAAAGTGTTTCAAACCCTGCACGTTTGTACAGCCGGAAAACTAGAGGCGCCGTCGGGTATCGAGGCGGTACACGACGACGCGCTCCATCATCGTCTCTTCGTCACGGATCCCAAATCCGGTATCAGGTACCTAGTCGATACCGGAGCAGAGGTCTCAGTCCTGCCGAAAACGTTTTCAGGTAAGGCTCAGTCACTGACACAAGATACACCCGCCCTATTTGCAGCGAACAACACACCCATCCGCACGTTCGGCCAGAAACTCATGGTGGTTGACTTGAAGCTACGCAGAACTTTTAAATGGGTTTTCATCCTCGCGGACGTCGAGAAACCAATAATAGGGGCCGATTTTCTCGAGTACTACCACCTCCTACCGGACCTGAGAAACCGGGAGCTGGTAGACCCCTTGACACATCTCTCTTCCCCTGGTTTCGTATTGGCCTGCTCCGTACCACGTATTACGACGGTGGCAAAAACCTCCAGCTACCACAACCTGCTGGCGGAATACCCGGAATTGACGAAAGCACCACGTCCGGGAAGTCAAATATCCAGCTCCGTAGTGCATCACATATACACAACAGGCCCTCCTGTAGCTGAAACACCACGCAGACTACCACCGGAGAAACTCAAGGCTGCCAAAGCTGAGATCCAGTACATGTTGGAGCAAGGGTGGTGTCGCCCCTCCAGCAGTCCATGGGCCAGCCCACTGCACCTCGTACAGAAGAAGAATCCTGGGGAATGGCGTCCTTGTGGGGATTATCGGAGGCTGAACGGGGTAACAATCCCAGACAGATACCCCATACCACACATCCAGGACTTCTCGGCCAGACTAGAGGGAAAAACGGTGTTCTCCACGATAGATTTGGTACGTGCTTACCACCAAATTCGAGTGGCCGACGAGGACATCCCAAAGACTGCAGTGTGTACGCCATTCGGTTTATTTGAGTTCACAGTGATGACTTTTGGCCTACGCAATGCCGCGCAAACTTTTCAAAGACACCTCAATAATGTGCTCAACGATTTAGACTTTTGTTTCGCATATATAGACGATATTTTAGTTTTTTCCGCGAACCCAGAGGAGCACGCGCGACATTTAAAAACGCTGTTTGAAAGACTGAAGCAACACCAAATCGTGGTTAATGCAGCAAAGTGCGTGTTCGGGGCAAGCGAAGTGGAGTACCTAGGACATAGCATTTCGACTCACGGGACCCGTCCAGCAACCGCGAAAGTGACGGCGATAAGTGACTTTCCTAAGCCGCAAACTGTGAAGGACTTACGAAAGTTTCTCGGCATGATCAACTTTTATCGTCGCTTCGTCAAAAATGCCGCATCTATCCAAGCACCTCTACATGTGTATCTGCGAAATTCGAAAAAAAATGACAAGACGCCAATCAGCTGGACCAACGAGGCGGAAGAAGCGTTCAGCCAGTGCAAGAGCGAGTTGTCCAGTGCTGCGCTGCTAGCACACCCTTCCGAGAACGCCTCATTAAGATTGACCACCGATGCTTCGGATACAGCCATGGGGGCTGTGTTGGAGCAGGAGGTTAAAGGCGACTGGCAACCCCTGGGATTTTTCTCAAAAAAGTTGACCAACACCCAACGAAGGTACAGCACGTACGACCGCGAACTGCTCGCGATATACGAAGCCATCAAATTCTTTCGCTACATGGTAGAAGCGAGAGTCTTCACGGTTAGAACGGACCACAAGCCTTTGATTTACGTGTTCAAACAGAACTCAGAGAAAGCTTCCCCGAGGCAGCTACGCCAACTCGACTTCATCAGTCAGTTCACTACTGACATAGAACACATTCCTGGCGAAAACAACATGGTGGCGGACACATTATCCCGAATCAGCGAAGTTCACACGGCAGCAGTAATCGACCCGGACGAACTCGCCTCCGCCCAAGAACAAGACCTGGAGTTGAGAAACCTGCTGAATTCCAGTACCAGTTTGAAACTCCAGAATCTCACACCCATGAATTCGGATACGGCGATCTGGTGCGACACAGCCACGGGGAGAATTCGCCCCTACATACCCCTCCACTTACGAAAAAGGGTATTTGACATGGTACATTCTAAATCACACCCAGGCGGCAAAGCCACATTCAAGGCGGTACATAAAAGTTTCGTGTGGCCATACATGGAACGCAACATAAAAAAATGGGCGCGCGAATGCCTTCCTTGCCAGCGGTCAAAGGTGAGTAGGCACACTAGAACACCCCTAAAACATTTTGAGCTTACAGAATGCCGATTCGAACATGTACACATGGACATCGTTGGGCCATTACCACCATCACAGGGACACCGGTACTGCCTCACGATGACAGACAGGTTCACCCGATGGCCAGAAGTAATTCCCATGACGGACATGACGGCGGAGACGGTGGCGAAAACCTTTTACGCAACCTGGGTTGCGCGGTTCGGTTGCCCCCACCGTATTACAACTGACCAAGGCCGGCAGTTCGAGGCCACACTGATGTCTGCCCTCACAGACCTTTTGGGCACTAAACGTTGCCGAACCACGCCATACCGACCACAGTGCAACGGGATGATCGAGAGGTGGCACAGAACGATCAAAGCCGCCATCATGTGCCACGAGACCAGTGACTGGTACGACATCCTCCCTACGGTGCTGTTAGGTTTAAGGACAACAATCAAGGACGACCTTCAGTGTTCCCTAGCCGAGCTGACTTACGGCACGCAACTACGAATCCCGGGGGAATTTTTCTTCGCAAACGACGAGCCAGAAGTCGACCCCAGCAATTTCGTCGACAAGCTGAGGCTCCACATGCGCAACGTCCGACCAAGACCAGCAACCCACCATGGCCACCACAAGACTTTTGTCCACCCAGAGCTGTCTGACTGTTCCCACATCTTCCTCAGAGATGACTCAGTCAGGAAGCCACTACAACCACCATACACCGGACCACACCACGTATTACGACGTACAGACAAGGTGATAGTGATAAGCATGAATGGAAGAGTAACCACAGTGAGCCTGGACCGAGTAAAACCGGCTTTCATATCGGCAGAGTCCTGCACTCCGCCTCATGTACAGCCCCCAACGCAACAGGTCCCGACAACACCTGCGTCGACGAGCACCACTACAAGGTCAGGAAGAACAGCCAGGCCACCAGTGAAATTCCGCGACTACGAAACGTAGTCACTGGGAGGGGACTACTGTGGCCGCCTGGAAGTATGCAACCAGTTATACACACATAATGCAGCCACCGGATTGGCAGTTACAACACGCAAGCCCAAAGAGGAAACACCACGGTGGAAACGTAAAACAGACTCCTTCTTCTCCGACCACTCACCGGGTGCAGACGTCCTCTTCTTCTCCGACCACTCACCGTGTGCAGACGTCCTCTCCTCTTCAAGACCTCCACGTGGACATACACATACAACCTTGGGCCGTGTTATCATTTTTTGTAGTTGGTATTGTAAATAAACCTGTACTAAAACCGTTTCCGTTAGTAATTCGACGACAACAATTACAGTAGCAATAAAATTTACTTGAGTTTCTGGATTCTTAATTTATGGGAGCTGACCGTAGCCAGTCTTACTTGAGTTTTTATGTTGCTAGAAATATTTTTGTTTTTATACCATAATTATAATTAAGCAATAGTAATTAAGACATTTTTACTCCCGATGAACCAATTTTAAAACTAACAGCAACGCCTCTGATTCTTTGTTGTAGACCGATGTGGTACGGAGTTCCAGTCGTAAAAAAACTAGAACTTTTTAACTCCCAAGAACAAATGGCATGCCACACTAAGACTTGTTTCCCAATCTTTCCTATTTTTATTAAAATTAGAAAATTGGCGTTACTTTAAGTGTGTCCGTTTAATAAAATGAACACACCTTACCATGGAGGTAGCATGAGAGAAGGAAAAATAGTCTGAAAACGTGACAGATACCGCGTTTTCGAATAGGGTCACAAATGGCTCTTGCGTGGAGCTGTTTTGTCGGCGTTTCTTTAACTTTTGTACTTCAACATTTGTCACTGTCAAATATCTCATGCTCCTTCCTTTCGTTCTATCTCCGTTTAACCGGTTGCGTTAAGTTCAGGCCAGTCGCTACGTTTTCTGAGTGGAATTTTCGGTCTATTTTCAGAAAGTAATATCTCCGTTACTAACAGACCTACGGTTTTGAAATGTTAAGTATATGTTGTTCATAACTTTCTTTATATACCGCAAAGGCAATTTTGTTAAAAACAGTTTGCGATCATATTTTCTTTTAATTTTAGTGAAATTTTTGCGTAACGTATTTTTAAAAATCAATATCAGGAAATTTCAGAACACGGTTTTCAACACTGTTTTCAGCTTACAAACTCCAGAAATCATACCAGACATATCGTCGATTTTTTTTGTTAGAAAGGATACGCAGTAAAAAAAGCTTGGGTTATAGAAGTTGCTAACTTTTATTTTTACTATATCTCAGTCCCAACAAATAAAGTCAGAAATAGACTTTATACGATTTCTAAAGTTTTGCAAGCTGAAAACAGTGGTGACAAACCCGTTCCAAAATTTCCATGAATAACTTAAATATTGATTTTTTAAAATACGTGATGCAAAAATTTCAACAAAATTTAAAAAATATATGATAATAATTTGTTTAAAAAAACTGGCCTAGCAGTTATGTAGTGGAAGTTGTGGCCAAGTTACATTTAAAATTTCATAACCATAGGTGTGTTGATAATGGAGATATTACATTCTGAAAATATGTATATAGTGCCTAGATGCTCCGTTTTCAGATGTGATGCAGTTAACATTTAACATTCACAGTGCCACGTCTTCTTGCATCCTGCCCTGTATCATCGGATCCAAATCCACTCATTTTCGGCGGAGGGATGAGGAGGGTCACTAACCGATCGAAAGAGCCCACCTTACCAGATACCCAGTTGATCGAAAAATAATAAAATTTTATTTTGCGAATTTAATTTTTTTTATGACAACCCATCTAAGTTAAAATAAAAATAAAGTGTGTAGCGTTAAAATAAAGAAGCATACTGTGCCCTGCGCCTATGTTTCAAGTGAATGTTGCCATTACAAAATTGGGTGATTAACATTTTAGAAAGGGCAGGTAAAACATATCAATTTGAGTAGGTGCAATGTAGTACTAATAATAACCATGGAAATAATAATTATTCTGCCTCCATGATAATAACAGTACTGTAGTCCCAAATAGTCGGGCAAATAGGGTGAGCGGTGCTTTTGATTTGTTTAATCAAAAAATTTTGAGATATCAATTTTTGGAAGGGATAAACGGATAAATTTTGATTAATGATTTACCATGCTTATGATAACCTTAAAATGTTTGCAGCATTTCAGACCATTCGGTTTCACATTTGCAAAGGTAAATTATACAATGTTACTATAATTTTGAGTTTGTTCCAAACCTCTGGATGTCTAGGGTAAAAAATCAAGACGGATGCATAAACTACAAGTGTGGAAGTAGATATCGTTCGTTCACTGTAAGATCAACACAGCGTTAAACCTGCGCAGAAGCACAAAATCAGTCGGACCAAGTCCACTTTCAAATTTAAGGGGTGGGCGCACCCTCAGAGGCATCTTTCATCGTTTCTCTGTCAAAGTGAACTTTTCTACCTGCGCAAGGGTAGCTGTTCAGATTATTTATATTAGAGAGCCTGATAGATTAATTCGCATTTGTGCTAGCGTGTTGACCAGTTCACTTAAGTTTATGTTTCCCTACGTTATTGTTTGCAAATTTAAAAATGATACTTTAAAAAACCACCCCCTTCTGAAGTAGTACAATACGTCCTTGGCTTATATTCGGGAAGTAACATAAAAGTCGCGAAATTGAAATTAATAATTTTTCGGAAAATCTATATTTGTTCGCCTGTACTTCAAGGGCTAGGGAAGTTCTGTACAAACTACAAAAATAACTTTAGAGCAATTTTTTTCTCTTTATTAGTGCCAACAGTTGTCCTAGTAAAGTCCCTTTGCCAAACATCGTTGTGGAACCGTCGCAGTGACCCTAGCTGCCATTTGAAATATGTCAATAGTTGCAGTGCCAACAGAATAAACTTAAAAGTACACTGTCGCTGTGACCGTCGTAACATTATCACTAAACAAAACCAAATAACATATTAATGTTGATGGTAGTGTTTTCGTTTTTACTTAAATCTCATAAATTTCATTGGTTAAGCTTGTACGCTTGTGTTCCACCGATTCTTTTACTTCGAGCTTAGGAAGCTTTATAAATGTAAATGTAAAAAACAAACCAAAGTCAGTATTGTTATGATAATGGAATCCAAAAACTCCAGTAAGAATGGTAGTGTAGATGCAGAAAACCTAAATTTGGATTTAGATATGGGCGATGATATGAAATTAGACGAAGTAAATTATGAAAGTGACGTGTCTTCCAGTAGTTCAGACAGTTCTAGCGCTCCAAGTATTAGTTCTGTTAGTAGCAAATCATCTGCACAAAGGCATATATCAAAGCATAAAAGAGGTCGTTCGAGAGACAAGAGTAGTTCTCCAAATGTTAAACGGCCCCGACCCAAGGATGTAAAGGGTAAATCGTATGATTACATGACAAAATTGAATTATTTATTTCGTGATGCTCGCTTCTTTGTTATTAAATCAAACAACGCAGAAAACATCACCTTATCAAAGGCTAAAGGTGTATGGTCAACACTTCCACAAAATGAAGCAAATTTGAATAAAGCATACCGAGAGTCTCGAAATGTTTTGCTAATTTTCTCAGTAAAAGAAAGTGGGAAATTTGCAGGCTTCGCTAGACTACACAGTGAGTCTCGTCACGATGTACCTGCAATATCTTGGGTTTTACCACCAGGGCTGTCAGCAAAGGCTTTAGGTGGAGTTTTTAAAGTAGATTGGATATGTCGCAAAGAGTTGCCTTTTTCAAATACAATGCATTTGTATAATCCATGGAATGATGGGAAACCTGTTAAAATCGGACGTGATGGACAAGAAATTGAACCCAGAGTAGCTCAAGAACTTTGTCGTTTATTTCCAGAGGATGATGGTATTGAAGTAACACCCATTCTACGTTTAGCGAAAGAAGCAGCAAAAAAAAATAGTTTGCGAGGACATCGTCACCCAAAAACAAGAATGCCGATAGCTGCCAGGACTTCATTCAGTTATCGCACTCGTGGATCATCTTATTCTAGAAGAAAATATTTTTTATCTAGTCGTGGTCTAACGTCAAGTTCATATCGACGCTCAATGTCACCAACAAGGAGTAGAGATAGGTTTTCATTGTTTTATGATCGAGAATCGCCAAGACCTTATACAGCAGCCGCAGCCGAAGCGTATGTTGCAGATTATATGCGAACTATGCAGCATCAGCTACCACCATTACCATATGCGCCACCACCAGGACTTTATTCCAATTCTCCATATGACAGCTTACCACCACCAAGATATTATGATGGTCTACCATTACCTGATTATACATCAACAAGGATAAACTCTTATTCAGACAAACGATCATATGATAGATCAGTAGATGAATTTTTATGGAGGACTAGTGATCGCTCTAGAGATCGAGAACGAGAAAGTCGCCACCGTTATAGAGACAGACGGTGAATACTTATTTATTATTAAATACAGAAAAATTCCTAAATATCACTTCAATGTACTAGATACTTATTTAGTTTTTCTTTTTTGTTCCAACAGCGTACTTTTTTAAGTGAACATATGTGAATACATTTGTGAATGATTCTGTTAAAATAAGGTGTAGATTTACTTTTAGAAAGTAATTTGTATATTATTTAATAATGATATGGCCAATGTTTCAATCCTTTTGTTTTTATTATCGTACAATTAAAAAAAAAAAAATCACACTGGTGTCCTCTAAGTTTATTTAATAAATGGTCTCTGACTTTTCCCATTATGTGACCATTAAATTCTGAAAGTGGTGTTCAGGTCTCATTCATGAGAAAAAGGTTTTGTGTACCCAGAGACCTGTTTATCGCGGTTCTTCTAGCGTTTTTACTTGCGCGTTTTCACAAAAAATGCCATCGCTCAGCTTTCTTAGCATCCATTACTTAATTTAAGCATTTTTATAACCTCTGTGGGATCTCCCATGAGACTAATAGCATAAATACGATGAGGTACACAACCATTTTTTTCGGTTCCAATTGATTTATCGTTATTATACAAATTTTGTCGATAAATAACTACATTAGAGTGCATAATATAACGATTAATATAGATTTTTTTCAATATTTACCTTAACAATAGGGCAAATGGAATAGGATGTACTTATTTAGTTAAACTAGTTCGTTTTTATTGTCTGCACTGGGAGCTCTATTCAAATTGTAAATGGTTTTACCATAAATCATCTGAAAATGTCCAGAAAATCGAAATGCAGGACCGAGTTTCCATTCATTGACTGAAAGAAATCGGCCTATTGTGGAGGGACATAACTTCTCCACCACAGGATGCAGTTGTAAAAACGAAGTTACTTTGAGACTACTACATCTAATTCTTGGTTCACGAAAGTAGGCTAAGCAAGTATTGTAGAGCTTCCATCGAACGAAACATGGCATTGACGGGGCCTGAGATGCGTGTTTTTGGATTACCATTGACGTAGTGCAGACTTATAGTAAAAATAATATAGAGACGGGATTCTGAATTCTAAATATGGGAGCTGATCGTAGCCAGCCGGCACTAAAGCCTCACCTTTTGGCCCCGCCTTAATATACGTATTAAAAGTTGACAACAATCGGTCCAGTACTTTCGGAGAATATTACCTAACAAAAATCGACATACGCGATAGACAGACGGACACGTGAGACCATACTCTAGGGGTCATGAAACGTCGAGAAAATTAGTCAATCGCCCGATCGACTCTATTACAATACTTCCTAAAAACAATTTGTAAAGAACATGACAAATAAGTTGCAAAATACATATTAGAACCAGATTTCGCAGTCTAAATTTTCTTAGATGGGGTAATAAATACGCGTCAAAATATTTAAGGTTTCAGACTGGTTGGAAGATGATTACGCCATTGTATAAACGAAACATTTTGACTGCAAGATTATGCCTCTACGAACAATGTTGTGTCCTGTGATGATCGCAAGTTAAATTGCGATTTACAAAGTTTGAAGACGACGTGATCAGCTTTTGCAATCAATAAAAATTTGTAGAGCAACTGGTCTATAATAAATTGTCTTCTTTTTCTTCAGATATCAGTCTTGTAGTTGCTAAGACAAATTAAAACCTTTGTTGCACAATTTTTATAATTTAAATTAAGAGGATGTTTAATAAACCATAGGTATAAATCAGTGGCGGCTGGTGGGTCAAAATTTCGGGTCGGCCAAATATTTTGAGTCTACACCTTGGTGTTATACATTTTCGTAATGTATGGCTGCTACTCATTAACCACTGACATTTTACGTGCCAGGATGTACAAAACATCTCAAATGTTTCGACCTGTTAAAATAATTTTTTATAGGAAATTGACAATGTCAGTTTGATTCCAAATACTATTAATCCTTAATTCTACTTGTTCTGCTTTATCATTAATTGAGAACCACCGAAAACATTATTTTTACTGAGTTCCGCGTCGACCGGCGGCTATACGGCTTGCCGACCCCGGACATCCACAATTAAATAATAATAATTAAATAATGACATGCAGTTAAAAAATATAAAAAAAGTGATAATAAAAGTACCAACTGTTAACTATCTTCATTTACATTTATTTTTTTTTAATGTATATGACAAATTGTCAAATAAATTAATTGAATAATTGAAAAATTAAAATGATTTAAAACTTTAAATTCGTTTCTGAAATATCTGAAAACGCTTAGATGCTAAAAATACAGAAAAAGCGCATTTATGTTGTAGCTAAGTTATGTACGAAAAATAAAATTTTAGATAATTTAATGTAATTTTTTTCGTTTATTATTCATACACAGAAAAATGTATTAAATCGACAATTATTATTAAAAAAAAATAGTATGCACTGAAGAACATCGAAGCCGTTATTGTTTTGTAATTTGGTTAGCTATCTTAAATATTAAGCGTTTTAAAAACTAAATTCGCGTTGCTGGGTACGGCGAAGGAGGATTTCGCCGGACCTGGCACAACATACGTTCCGCCAGGTCTTTGTCTACTACAGTGTACTAGACAAAGAGAACGATGAAACCGTAAGCTGCTACGAAGTCGAAACATCGAGTATAATGCATTCCTAGGTACGGCTTGCCGAAATCTCGCCGGCAAAGCGTGTTTATCAGCATTTAAAATTAGCAACAAATGCTTTATTTTGTACCTACAATATAATAAAATATATTTTTAATATATATGATCTATCCTAACGTACATTCAAACTTTATTTCTTTTTTTATTTTCTAATTTCAACGCTTACTAAGTATTTTAAAATGACTGGTACGGCGTGGCCGACCCTGCCGCCCCTGACCAGCCGCCCCTGGTATAAATTAGTGTATTATTTGGCACATTTTAGATAGTATTTATTTTAAAAAATTCTGAACATCATGTAATTTTTAATATTGAAAAAGACCACAAAAATGTATCAATTACACTCATGTACAGTGGAAATTGAATTTAAAATCAAAGAATTATCCAGTTGTTAGAAATGAATTTCACTTCGTAATTTAATAATTCGTTTCTGGTGTTACTTATCTAGATTACAAACATAAAAATCTGTCTCGTGGAAGTGGAAAAAGTTGAAAAAGAACTGGAATAGTTGCCAAAAACGAATGATTGAAAAATCAAATGCACTGGTTACAAAAATAAAAAAATTAATTAATTACATCTTCAACAATAATAAGATCATCTTCATCTTCTGGTGGGTTCATTTTACGCCTTTTGCTTGAGGAAGCTTCATAATCGTAATCTTCGGTAGTACAAGTTACAACATCATCATCATCACTACTTTGTTGTGTTGTATAAGAATCAGTTGAAACATTCACTCCATTGTTCACACCTAAAAAAAACGTCTTTTTACAACCATGGAGTCCCAGTGATTTAAAACAAACCGTTTTCTTGTTTCGTCTTTAAATCAGATGGATTTGCCACAAATTTAAAAGGTGGATCATCCTTTTCTTTAGCCTCATAATGATTAATATTTACTGTTAGTTCGTAATTTTGCAAAAAATCATCAACCTTCAAAATACTACCATCTATAATGCCAACCTCATTTAGTTTCTTGTTATTGTTAATCTGAAGTCAACTTTTACAGTAATATTTTACAAATTCAGTTATGAAAACTCAAAACCTGTGTTTCTCCTTCTTCGGATGAAATAACCACTACTCCTTTTCCATCTAATATTGCATCTGGAGCTACCATGTTAAGGGTATTCTTCAAAATTTCATTTTCAAATTCATTAAGAGTCATTTTGAAAACATTTACAAAAACATCAACCACTGGTTTTGATGAACAAACGTAACAATTGGGGTTCGGAGATTGTAAACTGTTATCTGCCGCAAGAAGAACTTTTGAGTAAACAGACTTTTGACGTAAGTATATGGTTGGACATTTATTCAATTCATTTTTTAAGACCCGGAATGCATATAGAACAACAAGACCAGCAATTAGAGCATTCGCAGTGGCAATTGCTGGTATGATGTTGCCGGCAATTGCTAAAATTATTTTAATATAGAACTGGGATATAGAGGAGTATTTTACTTACACTTCACAGCAAATCTTGATTTTTGTGGAATGGAAAATATATGGGCTCTAATATTTGCGCAGGCTGCAACAAAATCCATTGCAGGTTTGTCATCTTTATCCCAAACCAAAAATTTACGATTCACAAGTTGTTTTTTTAATGTTGTGACCGTGTCTGAGAAAATCTCTGCACATTTTTGTAAAGACAAGATTCTCATATCTATTGAAGTTGAAATATCCTCTTCTGAAATGTTACTGACACAAAGATGCGATTCCTCCCAACTTAAAGGGGTTGGAGCTTTTCGTGTTTTCCAAAGATTTTCTGAAGAAATGTGTTAGACAATTATGTTTTAACTGTAAAGAGCACTTACCCATTGAAAGTAAATAATTAATGTCGTCTTTAAAAAATTTATTAAACAGTTTTTCAGGCTCATAGTTGATCTCCTCGGCCCACTGGCGGGTAGATTTTCTCTGAACATCGCCAGTATGCGTAGTAGAAAACTCCCCATCTTTCTTTAATTCTGGATCTTCTGTATCTGGTGAAACATCCTGATCAGGATCATCTTCACCAAACAATTGACTAAAAACATAAAACGGTCAAGTAGGTACAATTAAACCGTTCGACAAAGCGTCCAATAGTCGAGAAAATTATAACTTATAAGAAGATACTATTGACTATTCACGCAGAATATGCATTATAAATTATTTTTGTACATTTATCATTAAATCATTATTAAAGTACTTCCAATACTGGGTGACTATTAATGATTGAGGCAAATTTTTGAGTTGGCAATTCTGAATTACTGGCAACATTGTTAGCATGTCCGTTCACAATTGTTAATTTTAACATCAGCGTGCCTTAAAGCCAATTTCAAGTTGGTAGCTACTGAAATGGGAATTTCTGTTACAATGAGATCTTTCGTGGTAATACCTAATTTTTTAAGCAAGATTCGATGTTACGTAAGAATAATTCCTTCCGATTTCCTGCTGGCAAAGTAAAAACAATGTTTGCTACATTGAAGAGCGATTACCAAAAGTAAAGTTACATTTCAAACAATGAAAAAAATTATGACAAAATTGCAAAAATTCTGAATATGCGTAAACTAAATTACTCAAAATTAAATGGGGATATTTCACGGAAATTGATTCAGCATGATTAAATATGTATTTTGGAGTGTTGTATATTTGCGCAGGGGCGGCCACGCCGTACCAGTAACTTGAAAATACTTAGTAAGAGTTGAAATTAGAAAATAAAAAAAGAAATGAAGTTTGAATGTACGTTTAGTACAGAACCTAATATATATTAAAAAATATATTTTATTATATTATAGGTACAAAACAAAGCATTTGTTGCTAATTTTAAATGCTGATAAACACGCTTTGCCGGAGAGATTCGGCACGCCGTATCCAGGAATGCATAATGCTCTATGTTTCGACTTACTAGCAGCTTACGGCTTACGGTTTCATCGTTCGCTTTGTCTACTACACTGTTTACGAGCGATGTTCTTCAGTGTTTACTATTTTTTTTATAATAATTGTTGATTTAATGAATCTTCCTGTGCAAGAGTAATAAACGAAAAAAAAAATCTAAAATTTTATTGTTCGTTCATAACTTTGCTAAAACATAAATGCGTTTTTTCTGGATTTTTAGCATCTAAGCGTTTTCAGTAAATCATTTAAATTTTAATTCGATAATTATTCAATTAATTTATTTGACAATTTGCCATACACATTAAAAAAAATAAATGTAAATAAAAATAGTTAACAGTTGGTACTTTTATTATTACTTTTTTTATATATTTTAACTGCATGTCATTATTTAATTATTATTATTATTTAATTGTGGATGTCCGGGGTCGGCAAGCCGTAGCCGCCGGTCGACGCGGAACCCTGTAAAAATAATTTTTTCGGTGGTTTTCAATTAATGATAAGGCAGAATAAGTAGAATTACGGATTAATAGTATTTGGAATCAAACTGACATTGTCAATTTCTTATTAAAAATTATTTTAACAAGTCGAGGTCGAAACATTCGAGATGTTTTTGTACATCCTGGCACGTAAAATGTCGGTGGTTAACGAGTAGAGGCCATACATTACGAAAATATATAACACAAAGTTGTAGACTCAAAATATTTGGCGAAAATTTGACCCACCAGCCGCCACTGTATTTGGGGTACTTTTTTTAGAACAATTTATTTAAAAAAATGTCAGAGTGGGTTGCTGCCACCAATTACTTCTGAGAGCTGCACTGAAACAATTCAAAAGTTCTTTTTTACATCGTGTTAAATTTGAATCGCTGCAATGAACAATGCAAAGAGTTCATATTTGGAACGAAGAAGCTAATTTAGTAGTCAGAATGTATCAAAGAAGCACACGTTAAGTGGAAATTAAAGAATTGTTTAACACTACACAAAGTGCAATTTCAAAAACCATTACGCTTCAGATAAACTGGAGTAGCTTTCAGAAGATGAGGTAGTGGACGACGACGTGCAACTACACTTAGAGAGGATAGATTTTTGGTAATACAAGCGACGAGACAAACTTTTGCGAAACCTCGTCAGCACCATCGAAGCCTTGTGAATGCCACTGGAACAAGGATTTCGAACCAAACTGTGAGGAATCGTTCGCGTGAGGTTGGACTGACCTCTTACAGACCCCTTCGACGTCCAGCCTTAACTATGGAGCCTAAGCGCCAAAGAAGAATTTGGGCGCAGCAAAAGTTACAGGAAGCTACTCCATGGGAAGACATTTTCTTCACCAACGAATCTCCGTATTGTGTTCATAACGAAAGTCGTCGCAAAACGATGCACAGAAAAAGAGGAAATAGTTTCCTACCCCAATACATCAAACTAGTGTGCCATTTAGAGGAGGTGGTGTGATGGTGTGGGCAGGAATACGTTTGAAGCTGCCGTACTGAGTTCCACACCTTTGGTGGTAACTTAAATGCAAGACGTTGCGAAGAAGAGATCATACTGGAGTACGTTGTGCCCAGGGCTAATGCTGTTGGATCCCAAAATTTAATTTTTATGGATGATAATGTACGACTTCAGCGTGCTCGGAACGTGTTCGAATCCCTGAATAACCACGAAATAAACCATCTACGTCTTCCACCTTTACCTATCTTCCGACCTTAATCCCATTGAGCATGTATGGGACTTCCTACAATGCCGCATGGATGCTCATGATCCTTAACCAACGACTGACAGAGAACTGAGAAACATTCTTCCTATTCTTTGGCAGGAAATTCCTCAATAATACATTGATAACTACACTGAAAGTATGCGTAACAGAAGCCCAGTTGTAATTAGTGCGCAAAGTGGCTCTACTGATTATTAAAGCTGCTTAGATTTTAAAAGTATTACAATTCATTTATTGATATCTGAAGAATGCTAAAAACTTTAAGAATTAAACACTAATGTTTTGACTTCTTTATGTAAATGTGCTGCTATGAACTTACTATGTAATAATAATTAAAAGAATAGTCTTCTTAAAGCAAAATTCTACGGAGACGTAATATCCCTATTTAATTTTCAGTAGTTTAAATGGAACGGATTTCAAAGCGGTTGTAGTAAACATTATTCGGAACCCAAGTGGCAAATCCATCTAACTAAAACGCTACTCACGAAATTTGGATGAAACAAACTCTTTGAAGAGTGTCTGACATTTTTGATACAGCACGAAAAACATGTAATACCAAACATTGAATACTGCAGGTGGTCTAGTAAATTAGGCGTTAAAAAAGTGACAATCGTGCATTTTGGGTGGTTAGTGATTTTTTATGAGTGACATAGGATGATAGGGCGTGAGTATAAAACTGAGTTTTCAGGACTGTGGGTGCTGTCATTTACCATCATCCTGAAAAGAAGAAGAAAGTGCAATTGATTTTTTTTTTGAATTTATCTCCGTAACCGTGAGTCTGAGAAAAAAAATTGAAGGGGATTTTAGTAGACATAATTATCTACAGTTTTATTCATAACTTTTTGGCATAATATTAGTCACAATAAAAAAGTTGTGGACAGAAAAATATGACAAAATTAGGGGATGAAAAATTTTAATGCAGTGATCTCAAATCAATTTTTTGCCACCGTAAATCGAAATGTGACGATGTGCAAGCTGGCCTCTCAAAAAGAAAGAGATACAATTCTACGACTGAATATACAAAAACTTTTCATCCCTTAGTCTTTCATACTTTTTTGTTGGTAACTTTTTTAATATAACGTTACGCCGAAATGTATTAACAAAAGTTGTAGATAATTGTATTATCTAAAAATATTCTCTTTTTTTTTGTCAGAATCACTGTTATAGATATATATATATATGTTACAGCTAATATCCGAAATACGTTATTATGCATAATAACCGGAAACATTAGGAATTATGCGTAATCACTGAATTTTTCAGTTATTATGCATAATAACGGAAACGTTTAGGTAATATTGATAATTACTAACAGAGGAACAGGAATTATGCATAATACCTGAAACATTAGTCATTATGCATATTGTCTAACATGTCCAGCTGATTTCACAAAAAACGGGACAAAATGAGCAATTCAGGTTCTCATAGATCAATGAAAACCAATGGCAATATGACGTTTATGTAACTGTAATTTGTCCCTTTTTTTTTAAATCAACTGTTCATGTGATGTGTAGGGGAAAGCGAGGCAGGGTGGGTAGTTTTTTGGAAAATATTATGCATAATTCCTGTTCCTCTGTTAGTTATTATCAATATTACCTAAACGTTTCCGTTATTCAATAAAATTTCAGAAATTACGCATAATTCCTAATGTTTCCGGTTATTATGCATAATAACTGATAAGTTTAGTTATTACGCGTAATTCCTAAAATGTCTAGTTATTATGCATAATAACGGATTTCGGATATCAGCTGTAACATATATATAAAATAATTACATCCTTCTTTTCAAGATGGCGGCTGAATGACAGCAGTCTCAGTCCCGAAAACTCAAGTTTTATCAGACTCATGGCCCAGTAGAGATAACAATCAGTAGAGACAGCTCGTGTCGGCGCCTTTGTTCTTTCTGACCCGAATTTTAAGCCGTCATGGGTGGTCGTTGCCTAAACTATTCCTAGATGTCGCCACCCAATTTAAAAAGTATCACTTCATTTACAATTTCAAAAATTGATTCGTGTACGCAATTTATTGCAAACTGTGTAGTTTGCTCAAATCGTATAATCGTGAATCGCAATAAGAAAAAAGAAAAGTCGATATTTAATTTATAAACACGCTGATTTGTTACAGTTTTTATTTTATTACTTACACAATTTGACAATTCGCACATTCTTTCCCCGAATACTTGAGGTTTAATTATCATTGTAAAAATAATGTAATAAATTCATCTAAAAAGAAAGAGGTTTATTTAAGAAAAAATAAATAAAATAAAAATTAAATTACAAAAAGGAAAAAAGTTAATGCTGTCAAATTATTTTCTTTCTATTAATTTTTTCACCTTTGGCATTTGTAAATTTAAAGCTAGCATTTACAAATTTTAGTGCATAAAATAATCTCATCCTAGCACACAAAGCAAGCAAATAATCGTATGGAAAGTTTTGGCATGGATGAACAAATGTAGCTTGCGTATATAAATTTAAAAATTTCAACAAAGTAGTTGTTTGTAAAATTATATTTTCAAAATTTTCACTAAAAATTTGCTCTAATTCACAAATGTAAAAAAAAGAAATTATCGTTTGGCATATATAATTTACCAAATAACTCGCAATTCTTCGTTTGGTAGGCTCCGAAATGTGAATATATGCTTCTGTTGTCTAAACTTTTATGTTCATTTGCATATTTTTCACATTCACTACAACTGTGTACTAATAAACATTCCGAATTAGGTAGCCACAGATATATCTAATTGCGTTTTGTTCAGCTGTGTGAAAGTGATAATCACAATCTTTTAAGGTGGTCTTCTGCATCGTGGTGACTGATTCTTCTTCATCAAAACGACGACCTACATTTAACTTTAAAATTTCTTCCATATCAGGCTCGCAGTTTTGATTACCTGTGTTCGTTTCATCAAAATAATCTTGTATGATTAATTTTCTAAAAGCCATTTGAAATTGATTAGATGTGGGGTTAATAGAATTTCCATTTTGTTTCCTAATCCATCCAAAACAGTTTTCTAGTGCGTCTGTCTTGGCAAAGGCGTCTTATTAATATATAGTCAAACCCATTTTACCTAACAACTTAACCCGTAAGCGTAATATCATATAAAGTAAAATTTTTATTAAAAAAAAAATTATTACAAAAAAAATGCATATTTGTCGGCTCACATAAAGTGCAGGTAATTGGTATGGGTCGACGCAGGTAAGAATAATTAAGGAATTCATGAAACCGGAAGTCCATAGGGATTAAGCGAAAAAGGATATTTGACAAAATGTACGGCTTGGGTCATTTTTATCCACGCGCGACTGCTTATGGGTTAAGCAACGTTTCAAAATAAAACTCAAGATTGTGTAGGTCAAAAAATATATATATACATGATGAATAAAAAAATTGTTTATTGAGAGAAGGTCTGCTTATATAATTTTTTGTTACGTGTAGTTTGTTTCTTATTATTTTTATATTTAATTTTACCACAACAACGGAATCACATATAATAAATTTTTATTATTTATTTCATAACCACCGTTCTTGTCCGTTTGCGACGACTTTTTAAACAAAAAGTGTGTTATGTTTACTATCTTTTCCAAGAATTCCAAACACGATGGAGAGAATAAGGCGCACAACAGGGTTCCTGTATGAAAATTCATCGGACAAAGATTTTACCTTTTATTGTGAAAATTAGATTTTTACACTATTTGTACAATTCTACCGGAAAAGCAGTCTTAAACAAGCAAAACCGGCAAAAATATTGTAACAAAACTGCCAAATTTCAAATATTTTAGACGTCAGTTGGGCGCCCTCATTCGGTCATAATGCGAACAACCACCCACGAAAACGGGTCACGAAAAACGGCGAGCTGTCTCTACTGATTGTTATCTCTACTGTGCTCATGGTCTCATGGCCAACCCAAAAAATTCGCTGCCTACCCCAGAAAAAGGGAGGATACATGCAACTGCACTGACATGTGATGATTGATGAAATACGAAAAATAATATAAAAATAATTATTTAACGAAAACATTGCAAAAATAAAGGAATTTACAAACTTTGCGTTTTATACGACGCTCAAAAGTTTAGTGAATTTACGACTTTGATTTCATGAACATTCTACACCGAATCTTCATAAAATTCAATCAATGCAAGCAATGGCACATTACACAGACGAGTAAGTGGGCCAAGTATTGAAATAATTTTGAAAAATAATACGATTCTTTACTGTTAGGAAATATACTGTATCCCACTGACGAGTTTGTAAAAATAATAACAATAAAATTAAGTTGTGTAGCAGTTACGCCATAACCACACTAAAGCTTTAGGCAAATTGTATGTTTCAAATTTCTGAGATACAAACTTTGTAGACAGGGTTCCATGTTATATGTATAACAATGAGAATAATAATGATGAAATCCTAATAAAAATGATATGGGTAGAGATTAAAATACGGCATTTCTTATTACTCTAAAACCACACAAACCCAGAAAAAAAAATTAAAATTCGCTTTAATGGAGGTACTTATAGTGTACTTTTTTACGACTGTGGGATGAACAAACAAATTTTGATTTGAATTGTAACACTTTTATAACAATTTAAATTTCAAAATTCAAAACAGCCTGACTCATAAAAAAGTAGTCGTTAGTGTCAGATTTTGCCATTTAATTCTATGTAAAAAAATTGGTCGAATATCCAGCTTTTTTAAAAAAATTACAAAATTTGACTTTTTTATGCGAACCCCTATAAGTTAAAATAAACAGATATGTATGTAATGTTAAAGAAAATATAAAAAAGGGTGCTACGCGTATGTACCGAATAAGTTTTTCCTTTAAAAAGATTGTGATGACGCCATAACATTGTTGCATGTATATCACTTTAAATAGGTGCAGAGTGGGATGTACAGTTGGGGACAGTGAATTTCGTCCACACAATTCACGCAAATTCACAAAAAATCACTGTATTCGGTGATATTGTAAAATTTAATTTAATTCCGATAAATTTTATTGTAACGATTTACGGTGTTTCCGATAACCTTAAAACGCAAGGTTTGTGCGATTTCAAAGTTAAATTGTAAAATGTTGTTAAACAATTTTGATTTTTTTTTACAAAAATCTGGATGTCTAGGGTAAAAACTCAACACAGATTCACAAACTACAAATGGATGAGTATGTTATTTTATAAAATTTAAACAACATTTGTAAATGTTGGAGATGACGTCATATCGTCATCGTTGGTACAGATGATCAGACAAATTTTGGTTATAGTCCAGTCATTTTAGGATAAAAAAGGGATCACCCTCGGAATGAGAGATAATAAGCTGAATTAAAAAAAAAAAAAAAAAATCAAAATTATACAACGTTTTGCAATATAATTTTGAATTTGCAAAACCGAATGCTGTGAAATCTTCCAGATATTTTTAAATTATCATAAGCATGGTAAATTTTTAATCAAAATATACACTCGACCGCAAAATTAACCGGGCACTCATATTGTTCCTTATTAACGTTTTAAAATGTTCTGCAAAGTAATATACAGTATGTGTACATATGTAAACATGTAAAATAAACGATGTAGTGAAGTTTTTAGGCGGTATCATATCATAAGACCCTTTTTTTTAGCAATTTTTTTAGGCACCTTAATTTAATCTGTTTCATGTGGCTCCTTTATTAGTTGTTATTGATCCTTTTTCTTGGTTTGAAAGTTGGCTCAAGCAGAAAATACGCGGTATTAAACCATGATTCTGCCCAGTAATTTTGCAGTTTTGTAGTGTCAGATAATTTTGAGGTCGCGTGTATTTGCTTATTTCCCCCCCACCCCCCAAAATTGATGACGTCATCTCAATTTTTTTTCCGAATAAATTCTACCTAAAATGTGCAAAATATGATGAGTTTTTACTTGTGATTAATGATTGCATTTATATTTTTTAGATTTACGTATAGAGGTGGCTCAAAAAAATTAATTCAATTTTAATTTTATTGATTAAATCAAATTTCCATTTTCCCAAAAAAATTGGGAATACAATACTGTTATTATTATATATATTACACTGCACCAATTCAAGTTGATAAATGTGTCCTTGCAGAAATGTTGATTTCATCACAAAATTTTATAAAGCAAAAACTCATTTGAAACATACGTGTAGAACGCTTCTTTACATTTACTGTAACATTACATACATATGTTTATTTCAACTTATAGGGGTTCCCTTAAAAAAAAAAAAAATCGCAGCACCAAATTTTAGAGTTTTTTCGAAAATTCTGGATGTTTCATTGTACTTCAGGTGCGAGGAAGGTTCTGCCGAAACAACGTAAAATAGCTGGAAAATGATAGTAGCATTCATCAAAATTAATGTGAATCTTATATTTTTCTTATCAGTTGGTAAGTAAAAAAAAGCCAGTTAATAATAACAAACTAATTAAAATGAAATAAAGCACAAAAGGCGTTATGACGAAAATTTAGAAAAAAAAAAAATTAAATCAAAATAAAAGATATCAGATGCTTACTTAAACAGATGCTTTGCCCAAACAATACAATGGACTGGTTCTGATGGTGTATTTCGTATAGTACATCCTGGAAAACTTCGCTGTTGAGGTTTTGGTTGACATTCATAACACTGTGTCAGTCCTTTTTTTATTAATTCTACCTGTCCAGAGTAACCCGCTGTTCCTGATTCAACAAGAGGAACATCAGCTGCTAAACACATACGATTCACATGATTGCGAGCTGATCGATTGTCTAAAGCATTTAATACTAACTTGAACCTTTTAAAAAAATTAATTCCATATTCTTGACTACAAAATGGTGTATAAAACATAGGATTGAATTTGTGATGTTATTACTTACTTAAAAATGCTGTCATGATATGCTTTAATTTTCATGTTGGAAGTAAATGTCATTACACTTTCTCTTGCAACAACAGCTTTGGGTTTTCCAACATGCTCTTTTCTAAATAAGAACTGACGATTCAAATTACTTACGTCAATAGTGTCCAAGTCAATCTAAAACAGCAAGATAGCAAAATTTGAGTTCACTGTAAAGGTACTTACAATCTCCACATCCTGAAAACCAGAAAGACACAAATTTTTTAATATTTCACATCCAATTCCTCCAGCTCCTACTACCAAAATTTTTGACTTGGGAATTAATTGTGCTAATGATGTATTGTTCAGTTCAGCAGCAACTACTTCTTGACAATTCATTTTTCTGAAAATATAGGGTAAAAGTTTAATTCCTTTAAAATCACAATGTTAAATTTCCATTGAATCAAATACGGTTACTCGCTGGGGTTAGTAGGTATCAAAATTGGTTATTTTGATTCAGTTTTCAATTTTGTTAGTATTAAAAGCAAAAACATGTTGAACGACATGTAAACATTAGACACATAAGTATATTCAACAACAAATATTATGCAGTTGGTTTATATTACCTCTTAATATGCATACGAATTTTTACTTTTAAAACTGAATGAATACTACGAAGTATTGATCGTATAAAATACAAAAGATCAAATAGAAACCAGCTCAAATCGGTCAATTAAGTAAATATTTTATTAGTTCAACAAATTTAAAATCAGTTAACTGTTATTTAAACTGCATATTTCCAAGCAAGAGACTACTACACTGATCAACTGTAAACTAACCTTAATAAACAACGCCGCCAGACACACAATCAATTCTGTAAACACAACAATTACCGATGTTTGAGAAGCAACTGAAAGTTTTTGCCCACTTTCAACTTGTGCCAGTTGAAATAACAACCCTAGGTTTTGTCAAACCACACAACATTCAATGTTCTTCTTTTACGGCAGCGAACACTTCCTTGTTCGACAATCACTTTAATTAATTTTTCTTTTTTTATATGAATTTCAATTCAGACGGTGAAAACACAGTATATAGGTGTATACAAAGTGTACCTATTATTTGCAATTTGCCGATCACCGGTCTAGCGATCACCTGCTCAGTTGATAATTAAAATCCCTAAATTGTCAGTACGAGAGTACGACTTGAGCGACACTGCAACATTTGCCATAAAAGCAAACTAATCTAAGCGCGTATTTTAAAATCATAAATCACTTACATTATAAGAATTTATCAGAATCGTTGTGGACGACTTTTCACTTAGATAACTTTAAAAAGTACATCTTAATAAACATATTTCGTTAAAGTCTCTACATTTACCTTTAACTTCTACAGTTTTTTGTTTAACGCCTGTCCAATTACCAATTCACAAACCAGATAACTCCTGCATAAAAATTTACCTAAATCATGGAGGTGCAATAATTCTACCTGTATCAGTAATGTTTGATGACCTGCATGATCCACACGGAAATGCACACCACCCGCACCACTAATGTGATGACATCATTTGTAACGTTTACAATAATTTAATTGTCAAAATTTATTTCAGAATGATTGTTGACACAGGTCACTGAGAATTCTAAATAAAGTTGGCAGTACATAATTACATCAAGTTCAAGTATAGCATATAAAGTATTGTAATTTTTAAATTACGAAATTCTTTGTTTACATTTCAAAAAACAGAAACACGTGTGTCAGTCCATGGTATAAACTTCGTCTTTTTTTTTTAATTTGCTTATTTTACAAATTTGTAACTATAATAAAAAAAGCAATAATAATGTCGCTTTAGTTTGCTGTTGTTATTGTTATTTGTATCATGCTGCCACCATTACGGAATTCTAAAGCACTCTGGCATGACCAAAGACTTCAAATATACAGGGACATTTTTTTAACTCTGAACATACACCAGAAAGTCCCTATGTTCAATCTTAAAAAAAAAACACATCAATGTCAGAGATAACAGAGATATGACAGCTTTTGAATGCTCCATAAGAAATGCATGGGAGCGAAGTGAACACAGAATTTGACGTAAAGGACGGTTGGGGGCACAACATTTGTGGTGGTTAACCTGATATCTTAATATCTATGTTAAATGTTACTAAATATATTACTAGTAAAAGTGACATAACGAACGAAAAACACGAACTCTGAGATAACCTCAATTAAATATGATGCGATGGTTTCAAATTATAAAAGAAAAGTCATGTTAACTGCATATGTATGTATGTATTTATTACAGTTACATACATTTTAACAAACAATATACTATTGGTAAGTACAGGAATAGTTCTATAAAAATAACATCGATAAGTAAACCGATGATTTTCTGCAGCTATAATTAATTATTAATCGATGAAACTGGCAAATGCTCTATAAATGGGACAAAATGATTAATTTACTCTGTTTTTTAGGTTGCTTCTGTAGTTCCCTATTATGGAATTTCAATGTATAAAATATACGTAATCGCACAAATAATGACAAAAGGTAATCAAGGGGGAGATTACTACATGGATGCTATTAAGGCCAGCTGGTTTTTAAGTTGTCTGGGAACTTGAAGCGAAAGTGTATTATCTACTGAAGGCATTTTCTAATTGTTCAATGTAATATGCAAACTGTTCATACGAAACATTAAGATTGCCATAAGATAAAGTTTCAGAATTGTGGGCTTGGAAACGACAATAATGTAGTTCTAGAATTTCTGCCACATGCATTTGTATATTCACAGCATATCTGAGAAGGGTGTTTTAAGCATGCATCCACTGAGTATCCACATATTTATCGTAAGATATTTTGTTCAGCTAAATCAAACTCTTTGTACTCTATCCTATCTATTTTTAGGGCATTATGAGATGGTTGGGAATTATTAATTATGGTGGGGATGTTGTACCTCTCACTTAAATTGGAGATATCTTCATTAGCAGATAAGAATTGTGGTGTGATCAGATGATTAAAAGAGGACTTGCGTTTGTGGTGTATTTATTTTTAATGTTGTCGGTTCAGTAGATAAGGGAAAAGTGAAGAGTGTTGTCTGTGATTTTGAAAATGAAAAGACAGGTCGGTAGAGAGCGGTGAAACGGTTGTGTCGAAAGGGTTCTTAGAAGGTACTCGAAATCTTCGAAGGATAAGAATTATTGGGAAGGGCGAACAAAAGATAGGTTTTACGACATGCAGGTGTACGAAGAGAAAGTTTCAGGATGATAGTGGTTGGAAGTCAATAAATACAGACTATACAAATATTACATGTTGCACAATTTTGTGGGATTTGTTAGCCCCCACAAAATGTTGCTAAATCAAAAGCACAATTACCAGTTGGGTTGTGCTGCATATATTTTATACAGAACAATAGCTTGTATTTGGTTATATTCTAATAAAGTGTGATGTAAATAACTATTAATAATATGAGGATAAAAATAATTTTATTAACACCCGCACAGAACTAAAAGTGACTAAAGTCATCTTCGCAATGAAAAGGTAACATTCAATATTATAACTGTATTTGTACCCCTTAAAGTGTCGTCCTTGAATTTCAACGTTAGGTTGTAATAACAATCTTTGAATGAGCTAGAGGGTACTTTTATTATTATCCTCGCTATAAAATTGTACAGTTTGTGTTGTGTATGCACATTTTAGAGTTTTAAAGGATAAGAAAAGTTAATACAAGCATTTTGAGTAATTTAATGTTTTTTTTTATCCATTTACTATTAATCAGGATGTAAACATTACAAAAGCACCAACAAATGTTAGATATAATACAATCATTTTTCGAATAAACTTAATGATTGTAATTTTTTTAATCTTGTCTTTTTCCATTTATGAGCAACCTAGTATTTTTGGAAGAAAGATTAACCACTTTTGGTATATTCTTACGATTGGAAATATCCCTGGTAATCAAATAGCCGCGCTACGAAAGTTTCACTCAAATTTAAATAGCGCGCCCGAAAGTGACGGTTTGGGGCGCAGTACATAAGGACTATTGTCGCTTAATTTTGCGAGCTGTCATATCTCTATTATCTCTGTCAATGTAATGAAAGTATACAACCAAGATTACATCAAACCTACGTGATTAATAGAAAAAAATTAAACTTGTCAACTTGTCAAAATATAATTTGGAAATTTAAGAAATGAATACAACAGAAGAAAACGTAAAAATATTAAATTGGTACTATCGCCATGTAATCAGTCGAATTGTGGGTAGGTACGTGTTATTTTTTTGGTCAATTGCTCTAAAGATTTCGTGTAAATAATGTGTTATTGCAGTTGGATGTGGGGGAGTTCCATCCATTTGAAACGAAACCAATCATCAAAACTTAAATATTGAATTTCGTGCACTGTGGTAACGTAGCAGTCTTAAAAAGGAATTAGAATTCAAATTTTCTTCAATAAAAAATGGACCAGGTTTAAGGTTTGGTTTATATTTCCTTCCAACATTTTAGCCCTACGGTTATATTGTGCTCTTGTCAAATTTTGCAGACGAGGATTAGCATTTGACTAATAGCTGTAAAGAAAGGAAAAAAATACGAAGGGACAAGGGAGTTAACAGGACTAACCGAAAATTTTGGGAATAGACTTTACCATCTAATGATAATAATGCTTCATGTGTAAATACGATGTTTTGTAAAATGTTTTTATTGTTTTTTAAATTAAATACTGTTTCTCAAAAATCCGTTCTTTTAATTTTACTTCTGGACTGAGTTATTGATGATTTGGTGAGTTAATAACATTTGTATTTAAACTGTTTTAAAACTTTGCGGGGATAACATAAGATGTTTAATTGTATATTAATACTTCCTCAGATAGGACATAAGTTGATCTGTTTCTCTAACGATGCATCCGTGGGTGTTGACACAATTGGTCTATTGGCGTAATTGACTGAAAAAAGATCACGTACAATTCTGTGCCGACGATACCAAGTTAAAATTTGTACTTTCTCTTCCGTTGTATAAAACATTGTTTGTATTCTCAAATTTTCAAATTATATTTTGACAAGTTGACAAGTTTAAATCATTTTTTTTTCTAATTATCACGTAGGTTCCATGTAATATTGGTTGCATACTTCTAATACATTGACGTGTTTTTTTTCAGATTGAACATAGGGATTTTATGGTGTATGTTCAGAGTTAAAAAAATGTCCCTGCTGCTAATGTTTTGTGGGTTACATACACCACTTGACATGTTGCACACTACTCTGTGACCAGCTGTGACACCACCACCCACCACCACCATCACCACACACATTGCAGTCATTGCACTTATATGGGTATAGTGGTAGTTCGAGGTTAGTTTTGTGTCTTTCTCTACAAATTTTGTTAAAATATTAGTAGTTGGAAAACGTAAGAGTCAGTTTTATTATTACTTGATGATTGTACTCTCTTGATTTGCATTGTTTCAAAACTTCCTGCTTCCTGATTTGTGTAAACTCTGATATCAATATATTACCGACTGCACAACTTGTGTTTTCTCCGTTAAATTAGAAATGGCAGGAAGCAAAGGCACCTTTCAACCTGTAAGTTACTTACCCTTAATTGCATGCATTATCGTAATAAAAATCTTGTTGTGAATTTGATTTATCGATAAGTATTTTTCATTGTAGGATTCTGATGTTCATATTTCTTATGAAGATCAACAAAAAATCAACAAATTTGCGCGATTAAATGCAAAACTAGAAGATTTAAAAGAAGAAGTTAAAGTAAAAGAGGTAAGTTTTGTAAAATTATCACTTCTACATATGCACTCGTATTTATGATCATAAATAATTCGCATTACTTGTTTTAGAATGATTTAAAAAGTATTGAAGAGGCCTGTGAAGAAGTAGTTCTGTTTGATGATGAAGAAAAGATACCCTATTTAGTTGGTGAAGTGTTCATACATCAGGATGTAGAAACCACACAGGTAAACAAACCGCAAAGTTACACTATTATTTTTATTTGTAGTTTTTCCAAGGGTTTATTTTATGTTTGAACGACACTGTCAAAAATTGTTTGATTTACTTATTTTGTTATTTTCTTTATTGAAGTACAGTAAATATTTTTGGCAAATAACTTTTGTAGTAAACAAACTGAAAATATGATTACGCTTACGCTCGGGAAGTAAAAATTGGTTGAAGGTTATTTCGACAGAACTTCCCTCGCCCTTGAAGTATAATACAACAAATCCAGGTCTTGAAAATAATTATAAAATTTGATTTTACAATTTTTGTTTTGTGATAACCTCTGTAAAGTAAAAACGAGCGGCATAACGAGTGTGTAATAGCAAAACGCTAATCATCCCCACCAATAATGTGATGACGTCACTTCAAAGTCGTACTTAGTAGGGTTTTAAATTGTATAAAATAACATAGTCGAACAAGTGTAGTTTATAAATTATATACATATGTATTAATTAAGGTTTTACCCGAAACGTCTAGATTTTTGGAAAAAAGTCAAAATTCTATAACTGTACAAAATATGAAAGAGTCTGTAGGTACTTGTGATTTATTATATTGATTAAATCAGGAACTGCAAAACCGAATGTGGTGAAATGTTGCAGACGTTTTAAAGTGATTGTAAGCATGGTAAATTTTTAATCCCTCTCCAAAAAATTGATGACCTCATCTCAAAACTTTGCCGAATAAATTTTATCTAGAATGTGGAAAATATGATGAGTCTATACTTCCGATTTATTGTTCCATTCATATTTTTTATGTTTGCTTATACAGGATGACTCAAAAAAATTAAGCAATCAATTTGTTTTATTGATTAAATCAGAAACTGCAACCGAATGCTTTGTAATCCTGCAGATGCTTTGAAGTTATTGTAAGCGTGGTAAATTTTTGATCAAAATGTATCTGTTTATCCCCCTCCCCCCAAATTTGATGACGTCATCTCAAAAATTTTGCAGAATAAATCCTATCTTAAATATGCAAAATGTGATGCATGCTTATGATTTATCAATTCATTCATATTTTTGAGATTTGCTTATACAGGGTAACTCAAAAAATTAATGTATGAGTCAATTTATATTATTAAATAAATCCAGAACTACAAAACTGAATACTTTGAAATCTTGCAGGCGTTTTAAAGTGATTGTAAGCATGGTAAATTGTTAATCAAAATATATCTGTTAATTCCCTCCAAAAAATTGATGACGTCATCTCAAAATTTTGCCGAATAAATTCTACACAAAATGTGCAAAATATGATAAGTTTTTACTTGTGTTTTATCATTGCATTCATATTTTTAGATTTGCTTAAATAGGTGGTTCAAAAAAACTAATGAAAAAGTCAGTTTATTATTGAGTAAGTCAGGAATGACTCACTCCATTTTCCCAGAAAATTTTGGGAATACAATACTGTTATTAAAAAATGTTGATGACGTGATCACAAAATTGTGTAAAGAAAAAACTCAACTCGAAAATGCTGGACATGTTTCATTGTATGTACTTCAAGAACGAGGGAAGTTCTGTCGACCATTTTTTTTTAAATAAAATAAAATAAAACAATAGAATTGTACGCATTTAGATTGCTTAAAGTTTGTAAAACACGTAGGTAGCCATCTACTTATAGATATAAAAGGCAATGTCCCGATTGACCTATCAATGCCCAGGCCAAACCGCGAATAATAGAAATTTGAAATTTGGAAAAGATGTCCATTTTATACTTCCCTTACGGGATGAAAAGGGGTGGTAAAATTTGTATAGGACCAATATTTCTGCTGTAAATTAAATTTTTTACGTGAAACTTGGTATTAATGCTCTTCACATAAATTTCAGCATTTTTCGAGATTCAGCCCCAAAAGGGGTGTGTATGGGAAAAATATTTTTATGGTAATGTGTACTTAAAACCTGGTATTAATGCTCTTCAGTACAAATAATGAAACACGTATTTAAGCATTTTCGGAGATTCAAACCCTAAGGGGGTGAAAAGTGATGTCTAAATTTGGGTGGCTAAGTTTGTATATTGGAATAATATTTCTGCTAAAAATTAAAATTTTTACGTGAAACTTAGTATTAATGCTCTTCAATACAAATAATGAAACCCGTATTTAAGCATTTTCCAAGATTCAGCCCCTAAGGGGGTGAAATGTGGCGGCTAAGTTTGTTTGGAAAAATATTTCTATTGTAAATTTAAATTTTTACGTGAAACTTTGTATTAATGCTCTTTAACACAAATAATGAAACACGAAGTTAAGCAGTTTCCGAGATTCAACCCCTAAAGAGGTGAAAAGTGATGGCAAAGTTTGTATGGGAAAAATATTTCTACTGTAAATTTTTACATGGAACATGGTATTAATACTCTTCAACACAATAAAATAATGAGATTTTTTCGAGTTTCTACCCATAAGAAGATAAAAGCGAGTGACAAAGTTTGTACGAGGAAAATATTTTGATGTAGATTTTAATTGGAAACTTTGTATTAATGCCCTTCAATACATTTTTTACTTGAAGCTTGGTAATAATGATCTTCAACACAATGAATCGTCTATGCGAGCGAAGCCGCGGGCGAAAAGGTAGTAACGAGTAACTATAAATGAAAAATGTCCATAAATAAATTGACATGTCAAAATGTTTGGCAGGAATTGTACTATATTACTACATTCGCAGTAAGGCCGTTGGAATTTCGCAAAATTGCTCTACTCTTTACAAACATTTAAAAATTATTAAAAAGTCATGTAATTTGTTGTAATTTATTTGTTTGTTATCGTTTATGTTTAGTTTTGTCATTATGATGTGTTCTGTGTTCACTAGCTATTAAAATTGTGAATTATAATTGTTTATTAATTTACTATTCACACATGACTCATACGTGACAGTTTAAAAATAATTTCTTATGTAAAAACCGACAATGACAATAATTTAAAATAATACCCAAACTAAAGGTTGTACTTCTATTATTAATATAAAAAATACACCATTGTGGATAATTAAAACGGAGCAGATATAGCAAAATTTCTTCGTGATGTTCCCTACGTGACATACTTTAATATTGAATTCGTTTTAATATGCAAAATAAAAATCTAAAAACAAATTGATCACGATTGTTCAAAAAAACTAAATTTTTGTAAGATAGCGGCCATTGTGGCAATGTCCGCTTTAGAAAAATAATATGACGTAAGTTTTACACAACGTTATTGTCCCGAACGTGACAGTGGAATGCTCCAGTTCCGGGTTGGTTGCATGTGGATATATGGGATGACAATATTATCGATTTAATACTAGACGCAAACGTTTAGTGCGTTTATGGCTTCACACGAATTCAATTCCCATTATGATTCAGTAGGCCGTCACAATTGTATATCTTCAACCCTCTTACTGATAAGTGATAACCTACCTGAAAAGACGTTTTCTGGTAAGAACACAGGGCAGTACTATCTTGGGTCGTCCCTGTCACGTGGCATGGTTTGTATTTGCTAAGTTTTATGAAGGGTCGTCTGTAAAGTACTTTAAACGCACTAAATATTTGCGTCTAATATAAAACATGAATTTTATACATATGATAAAAAAGGACCGGTATGGTCGGGAATGTTGCATCTGTGAACCATATGTTTGAATAAGATTCGTATCTGCATATTTTTGTATATTGAATATGAATAATAACTATGACTGAATTCTAGCTCCATTGTCGGTTAATTTGTACCGACTCGGTATTTCTATTTCAATATGTATTTTTTAAAGTGATAAAAATTAAAAAGTAATTTTTGTTTCATTATGATTACAGCAATGTTTGGAAGAGGCCAAAAAAAGAATCGAACAAAACATGACAGACCTGAAAAATCAGTGTGATGAAGTAAAGAACCAAATGGGAGATCTAAAATCGTACCTTTATGGAAAATTTGGAAGTCACATAAATCTCGAAGCTGATGATGAATAACGTGAAGTTTTTTTTCATTACTGTAACTTTGTTTTAGTTAATCTCATGATTAAAAAGTCACCAATATAATTTTTTTAATTTAGCGTAAAATTCATGTAATGTATTCTGCTTTTAACGAACATCTACATTTTCCAAGGACTTTATATTAAGAGAACGGAGGATTATGTGAAATAAGTGACTGCTCCGGCCAAACGCTATAAGTAGTGACCAAAGAGACAGGTGGGGCGTGTTTTAAGAGATGGCGTGAACAAGCAGATTGCTGAGTTTAGTGTAAAACGAAAGCGACTATCACATGGTTTGCGCAGTGTCTATTTCGGTCGAGTCCAGTCAGTGTCCGAAAGGGAGAACATCTTTACAGTGACATGCATCCACACTCAAAATATATTATTTCTGCCATATTTAATAAATAATACTAATAGTTTTAAGAATGTGATCATAAAAATTAGATTTTCTTAATCTTTTAAATTCAGAATGATTTTCTTGAAAGTACATAAAATTTACTGTAACTACGATCGTCGCACCACTGTGGCCTAGAAGCCACGCATTATAAGCGCCACCTCTGGTCTCTTTCGTTTCGCATTCGACTTTAGCACATGATCAGTGGCTTATCGAGACCGTTAAATAATGATGGAAATCGGATCGATTTCACCACACAGTGGCCACAACTAAAACAATCGACAAGGAGTTATTACTGGAAAAAAAAGTGCAGCAAAAAATGTTATGAACGGTCGAAACTGCGATAACTAAATATCCCACATTGAATCAACTCGAAACGCCACTAATTTTGTACTTCCTGAATGACAGTGAGTTCATCGTTTTGACTGATAGGCTGTTTAAAATCTATTTTCATAGGTGGTTGTTAACAGCAACTGTGGAGTGCAGGAATGGGTCATTTTCTCAACCCAGCAAAGATATGGCATCCCTTGTCTTCTTAATACAAAGTCCTTGATATTTTCCGTAATTAACTGAGAATGGTTTTAAATTTTTCATGCATTGTCCACATTTTGATAAGCTCCATTTTTAAGTCTAAATTTGTTTTAGATTGTAGTAGGTATTGAGATTATGATATTACAAAACAATTCAATTTTAATATTTTAGTTCTTGTTAAGATACACAAAAACGTTACGAAAAGTTATTGGAATTAAAAAATATCTCCACTGAACGGATTTCCTTACATTATTTTTTATTTTTTTAAAGATCAGGGGTATGCAACGACCAGTTAATACTTGTATGTAAGCAATGAAAATGTATAAAATAAAAGGAAACAAGTATGAAATTAGAAGGGCAAAATTTCTCTGCTACAATCTATGTACGATACTACTAGATTTTAAATAAATGCAGTTTTTTTTCTAGCTTAACCACTGCTTTGTTTTTTGTTTCTACGCTGGCGACCCTACCTAATTTAATCATTGTGATTCAGTTGATATAACATAAAATTTTCTTATGACAAAGTGAGTGTTTTGATGAGTACGATATATCTCGAAAAATTACCAACTTTTTTGACTGAACTTTTAAATAATAGGTACCTACGTTTTGCGGAAAAATTTAGGAATATATACATATGTAGTGTAGGAATAGAAATTGTACAAAAAGAAACCATTACAAACACTAGAATTTTCATAGTATATTCAAAATCAACAATAAATTTCACATAGTTTATAAAGCTTAATGAATAATACTCGATATACTGGACCTTGGGGATATTGTGCCATTTTCATCGTCCGACTGGTCGGGTGATATTCTAATTGCTTGATACCACTGATTCGTTAAATCTGTCATCTGACTCTTGCAATCTTTTAGTTCCTATAAAACCAAACAGATCATTAAGGTAGGTAAGACACATTTTACACGACATATACAATTTACATATAAAGTACTTAAACAGTTACCTGCTGTGTAAACCTCCTTGTAAAGAAAGGTATGAAATATTTCAAGTCGTATTTGGCAAAACCTTTTATTCTATCTGGAGCAAATGTTACTTCCATTTCACCTTCAGTAGTTTCTGATAAATGTTCAGAATCTATGGCTTGGCCCCATTCCCTTGTTTTACTCAATGTCACTTCTCTATCTTTTCTGCGTTTCTTCAATCGTCTGGACGGATTTTTCGTTGCTTGCATAAATTTTAATAAAGGCATAGTTGACCCACCAAAGAACAAGGTTGTTATTAATACAATAATAAGGGTTGTCGTAATGATAACGTGTCTAGTTTCATCGCTAAAATTTAGATGCAGTGATAAAGCATAAGAAATGGCGCCTCGAAGACCGCTAAACCACATTATGAACATCATTTTCTTTGTTATTTGATGTTCACGAAATTTATTTACCAAAATTGCCAGTGGAAAAATATTACACGCGCGACCTATTAAGCAAAGTATTAAGGCCCAAACAATAAGAGCAGGTTCAACTCGATGTTTAAAACTAAATAATGCTAGTCCAAGATATGCAAAAACACAAGTCTCAGCAATAAAGGCTAATGTTCGTAAGGTCTGCTGCATTGTGATCTGCGTTACAGTTGATAAATTAAAATGAGTATAGTGTGACATTACAATTCCACAAAATAATATAGCCATTATACCACTGAGATGAATTCCCTCAGCTAAGACATACGGGGCATATGTGAACACCAACATCATACCAAATTCGAGGGATGGATTCTTTCGAAGATCCACGTACTTCAACAATACTGCACTTACTAAAGCAAACACAACTCCAATACCAGCTGATGCAAAAAACATTAGACAAAATCTCTGTATGCCCATAACAATTGCTTCTCCTGTAGACATTATAGGATTATTTGATTCCAATGCTGCTGTTGTCAAAACAATGGCAATTGCGTCATTTAAAATACTTTCACCAAAAACTAACATATTTAAGACAGGGTCAACATTTAATGCATGAAATATAGCTACAGTTGCAACAGGATCAACTGCCGAAATCAATGATCCAAAAGCAAAGGATTCTACAAAACTCAGTTGGTATACAACATCAGCTAACCCCAAAAAATATATGCCAAAACCAATTATAAATGCTGATATAGTTGTTCCAACAATTGCAAAAACCAATATAGAACCTATATTTTGAAAGAAATTTCCCTTATGTAAATTATATCCTGATTCAAAAATTATGGGTGGTAATAATATTAAGAAGAAAGCTGTTGGCGAGAAAGCTTCTTCCTTGCGCCAGTTACTAATATTTCTGTTAGATAAAGCATTCATTATAAGACCAATTAAAGCTCCCAAAAATACGATAACAACACTCTCAGGTACATACTGAAAACCTGTTTGTAGCATAAAATGAATAAGTAAAATGCCTAGAGCAAGAACACAGAGAACGAAGAATATTGCCATTGAGCTATTGTGTTCATCTTCTGCCGCCTCTTTATTGGGTAAAACTGGATCTACTGGAGTGATATTTTGATTTGTTGTGCTTTTGTTTCGATCCAAGGTAACAGCTTGAGTTGGCTTCATCATTTTTGTGAATACTGGTTCATTTTTAGATGAATTCTGTGTAGTGGATGTTGAAAAAGGTAAAGGTGAAAGTGTGTATGAAGCACTTTCTGTTGACTGTCTATTGATATGACCATTATTATTCACAGGTGTCTGCGAAGTTACTGTGCTGCCATTGAATGTAACTTTTGTGGTACTACTTAATTCTAAACTGCTTTCACTTTGTATACTTTCTGTACTGACGAAGATTAAAAACTGCAAAATTGCAAAAATAATTTTCTTCATCATTGCTGCTAGTTGACAGATAATAATGGTACCAGAAAATACTTTACTAGTTAAATACTGCAGAAATCACATTTTATCAAAATCAAGTACTGAAATAATACAGTCATTAAAATCAAGCTTTACGTTAAAAACCCACATACCAATTATCATGACGTGCTGTCACATAGAATTTAAGACCTTGCCATAACCTTCTTGAGGTGTTCATTCCATTTGTCTTGGTAAATATTAGTGATATAATTTATATGCATAAAATATATGATGGAACAGTTTCACTACACCAACAACTCTTGAGATCTGTGCAGTAATTTACAAATTTAAAACATACACTCGTGATCAATTCTTTTTTCACAGTTCTCCGTTTTTACATTTTGACAGTGAGGTGACAACCATGTTGTGTATTGTTGGTTGCAATTTGGAATGTTGCAATCATAGAAAAATAACTCTCAATGGCCTAAAATATGTCAATTTAAATCTAATAACTTTTGTAAAAATGTCCCTAATCTCTGTGGGACCTTGAGAATCAGATATTCTCTAGTCGACCTTTATCTTCCCAAATTATGTTATATAGCAAATTCAAGCCGCAGGCTAGAGATTAGTATATTAAGTTATATTCTGCTTTTTTTAAGAAGAAACTGTCGTACTGAGCTAGGCTCTATCACGACCTGTTATATTAGTTATTAATCGGCCTGTTCATTTGTATAAATTAGCCAAATACACTGACGTCATCCGAGGTCATCAAGATGGCAGCGTTTGACAACTAGCCGGTTTTCTCATAAGAGTCAATACTAATATTTTCGGAATTCATTTAAATTTGAGAGTGTCAACTGTGTTTTTATAGTTTGGTAAGTTTGTTACAGTTTCTAGACTGTGTAGATATCTGTAAAACGCACCATAACGTTTGATTATGCTTAAAAAATAATGTTTTCCAATGTGATGTACAGGTTAACTTCGCTGCATCTTATATTATTTGTTTTGCAAATTAATTCTTTGTTAATGTACATCAATGTTTTTTATATACACTAGTATCTTAATATTATAATATTTTGTATTTTAGGAGAAAATGCCTAAATTTTGTGCTGTTGTGGGTTGCGTGAATCGAAGCACCAGAAATATGGACAAATTTATTTTCCTTTCGCAGCAATTAGCAACAATAAAGGTAAATATATCCAGGATGGGGAAAAGGGTGGAAGCTTTGGTTAAAAGCCTTGAAACGAGTGGATTTAACGAAGCCAAAGTAAAGTATTCCTATGTTTGTTCGGATCATTTTATTTGAGGTACAGTACCTACTTATTAGATTTACAGTTTCTAACAAATTACTACATTGGTGCTCTTTTAGGTAAACCTGCAGATTTATCAGATGTGGACCATCCTGATTATGTTCCATCACAAAATTTAGGATATCAAAATAAATCCACTCATAATACTTGTAATGTTGAAAGGCACAGTTGTTTAAAAAAGAGAAAACTGAATAAATGTCTCTAGACTTTTGAAGGCACGAGTTTTATTGGGGGTTATTTTACTTACTCTAAAAATAAAAAAGTTTAGAATGGTATTCATTGTTATGGTAGGGACCTCGTCTAAACACAAACTAAAATCACTTGCACTCATTGTATAAGGATCTACGCCGTTTAAATTGTTTAACTTTTTTACATATCTGTTTTTGTCTTCTACGGAAAGACATCGTGCATAATCACTTATTATCCATACTTTAAAAACAAATCACACACCTTCACTTAAACCTGTCACAGTAACCTCAAACGAATTAATTTCCAATTTCCCGCTTAAAACACACGGATGTATTTTGGATGACGAGGAATTCAGATCAAAACAGTGTTCTGTATTTTTATTTTTGTTATGTATTTCTAAACTCAAATCGCCAAAAAAAGCACCCTGACACACAGAAAAGATATGAAAGGAGCTATTCACGTGTTTATTTTCTAAATAAATACCCCCACTTTTAAATAAAATGCGAAACGAAAATGTTAACATTGTCGCTTATGGAGTTTCACGGCGCTTGTCAAACGCTGAGTTCCCGCCACAACATGACGTCACGTGTTATTGGCTAATTTAATTGTTTTTTTGATTCCGGAAAAACACCAGATTTTCCCATTGTGCGCCACTCAACGGTTATACCATAGATTAATATAGATGCGACATAGAGGCTGATTTTGCAACACCACCCTTATTGATATTGGAGTCCTCAACCGCCAAAGGCAAGCGCCAAATTTAAATAGTCGATGCCAATAAAAATTTTGCTTCACTATAATTGTAATTCGTATGACCTGAATGAAAGTAAAGGAAACAGTAAGCAGCTTGTAATATTTTGGTAAATCTAGTGCCAATCTGTCGAAAATAAAACGCGTTGTTAAAAATATTATGACATTTCTCTTCTTGTAGTTCAGAGACTTTAATACATAGACTGGCTGTGTCAGGAAAAACGTGAAGTTTTTCCAAGGTTAGTTAATAGAGAACAAGTTACCACATAAACGAGTATGTGGGCAAAATCGCTTTCGGGGGAGGAGAGGTGTCAGCCCCATGTGACGTCAAAATGAGGTTGGTATTACTTGGGAATTTTTAGTAACTTGTAATTTTGAGTTGGTGTGACCGATCAGCTGATGCCTTTAATCTGTACGATCTCTACCGCTAATTCTGACGTTTGGTGTTAGTACTGTGACTCGTGTAACCCTATTTTGCCTTAAATTAAATTTATTTGTGTTTAAGCTAAAATGAAATGTTTTGATATATTACTAGAAAGGAAAAAGTAAACCAGTAAATGCAGATTTTCAGATTTTTTGCATAAAAAAAAAAATCAGTTAATAGTGTCGTATTTGTTATTTTCAAGTTCTACTGGCAGCAAAACATTTTTCTTGAGATTTATTAAATTGTTCTTTACACAGGATTGAAATTTGCTAAGTAGAAGCGGTCACTTGATTAAAAGTTTCCGTTTTTGGTGCGTTACTCGAGTATTTAAAACGGGCAATTTTCGCGCCATTTGAGAGCCCCTTGTGACGTATCAATATGGCATCCCAATGTGGCAACCCAAGGTCCCTTTATAGTGATTAGGTTAGGGTATATCATGACCTTGAAGAGACATCTTGATGACGTAGAAAGTACCTCTTGCGCGGTTATTTTTAAATCTAGTTACTTTTTTCCATTACATTGTAAGAGCGATTTTGCCGAAACTGGCATTGTGGTTACAAAACCTTTGTAGCCAGGACGTAATGACAGTCAGGGTAGTTCACGACAAGATCCTAAAAACCCTAGCGGGGTTCTTTCTACGTCACAACCGAGTGGTGGCTCCCCTTCCCCCTGTAACAGGTCTGTCTACAAACTCGCTGTATGCACTAACCTAGTCACTATTAAGTAACCTTGGTGGCAACCTTATCTATTAAATGACTTTGAAGTTTTTCGACCACCATATTGCTTATAACCGTAAGTGCGCGAAATTTGAATTTTCAGGTCACAAAATGCAATTTAAAATGTTAAATAAAAAAGACAACAAATTGTAATTATTTATTTAGCATAATAATATCTATATGTATATGTAAATTCATTTAAAAATATTGATGTCCTTGAAACAAAATTAATTTTGTGAATTTTTGTCTTAAAGAGATAACTTTTTCACGCTCAGTACTTACTTAAGCGGCACTCATAACCTATTCCGAGAGTCAAATAATTTCTCAAAATTAATTTAAGCAATAAATTAAAATGAAAATTATTTACGTCCAACTAATCCATACTAAACCAATGTTCATTATGTAGAAAAAAAAATGTATGGTCCTACTTTGCAAAGTTAAGGCAAACATTTTAGTTACCAAATCATTTTTAATGGCCATATTTACAAACAATCTCGTAAGTCCCGACACACAACCACTTTTATTTCGAGGTCTAGAAACGTTCTGTGCTAGAAACTACTGCTGCTAACCACCACAACCTCGCTTGATTTGACATAAAAGTTATAGCAATGGCGTCCATACTACCATGCGCCGTGGCTTCACCAAAATGCATTAGAAATGTTAACAGCCAGTCTATGTATTTAAAGTCTCTGTTGTAGTTACTTTTATTTCTAGTTAGAAACAAACACTGCTACCAACATAAATTGAGAAGTCCTCAACCGTCATTTGATTTAAACTATGACGCTTCTCTATTTATGTGTATGTTCTCTGGTTATACCACGCTATACATACTTAACGCTCCAGACTCAAATTTAAGTTGCCAACTGTGAATCTTTTAAATTAAACACAACATTCAATTGGTGGATTCAAGGCCCCCAATTTAAAATGTGTGAAAATGTGAAAATCAGCCCATTCGATTCATTGTTGCAAACATAAATTTGGGTGCAGATAAATATTACTATTTTTTTCACTTGTTTGGTACCATTGAATCGGCGGCCATCTTAATTGCGTAAATGGCAGCAGGGATTGGCACTATTGGCAGTAAAGGCAGTAAGGTGGCAGGAAGGTTGCCATGGTCATGATTTCGACAACTCGAGTTGAGATACAAACCTTCAGAAGATGGTATAGAACATAGTTTAGCTTTCACGGAAATGTATGTACCTGATAGATTACATAGATGGCGCAAGTGGTAGCGAATCCGTATTTTATGGGAATCTGCATTTTAGTATATATGTATTTCTTTACCGCGTGATCAGAAATGACTGAGTCTGTTGGCATTTCTCGATCTTTAGTTGAAATTGGTATCATGATGTTTAGTATAATTTCCAATTGTCAGCTGTCAAAATTGACAGAATCGATGAGTAGTTAATAGTTATTTATATATCAAGCGCCGAAAATGAGACTTTGTATCCGAGAGTAGTTGTAGCGCGAGAACGAAGCTCGAGCGCCACAAAAGCGCGAGGGATGGAAAGCCGTTTCGCCGTGAGATATATACATTTTTTGTGCTGCTTTTTATTAAAAAAATATTAAACAACATTACTATTTTCATTGATAAAAAAACTATTATAATTTTTTTTTAATCAATTTGAGCACACCATTTGTATAACCATATTGCACCGTATATTAATGAAAATTAACACGGTTTTGTACGTAAAAAATCTACCGTAACAAATCTTTTAGATTTTACACAAAACTTTTATTAGGTAGACGTAGTGTACACTGCTCTCACAAAAGCTTTTGACACTGTTGATCATCAAATTCTTTTGCACAGATTGGCCCAATATGGATTGTGTAATGAACTTTTTAACCTGTTTCGATCAATTTTATACCAAAGATCTCAGAATGTGGAATATGCTAGTTTCCACTTGTATATGTTTTTAACACCCAGTGGAGTTACTCAAGGCTCTAACCTAGGATCTATCTTATTTTTAATTTTTCCAAATAGAATTCTGAATTTATTTCAATGTCAAATTTATACTTAAGCAGATGATGTCAAGATAGCTATTAACATACCTAGGATGTAAAGAGTGCCCTAATCGCCGCAGCCGGCCGTTTGAAAACCGAGCGTTTAGCGCTAAGGCGGTTAGGGCACCGTTTACATCCGTGGTGTGTTCAAGATTTTATCGGTTTCTGCCCATTTTAATTCAATAATCCAAAAATTAATTAAAAAATAAATAAATTTGGTTCATCACATTTGCATGATATAGTTCGGTGTCATAGTTACATTTTGTTGTTTACTCAAAAACATTTTGTGAACAGAATTAGAAAAATGATGGATTTACGCGACGTATTGCCCGAAAATGTTAAAAATGCAGCCCGTCAAGCATTAAACCTAGCTGTCGATGCGACCAAATGTACAAAAAAAAAAAGCATTAAACAGTTTAAATAAAACCGGTAAAGTTACTTACATTATTGCTTTTCACCTTCATTGCTTTTCAATTCTTTTACAAATGTTGACAATTGACAATTCGGTATGTAAAATCGGTATTACCTTACCGATTTTACAGACACGACACAGTTATAGCTTTCCTACCAGCCAACTTTTATTAATGTAAACAGGCATTTAACAGACAGAAACCGGTAAAACCCATAACATCACTAGAATATTGTCGAAATCTACAAAATGATGTTAATAGATTTTATAGTCGTTGTGTAAAGAATAAATTAATTGGAAGGGAATCTAAATGTAAAGTGATAACGTTATTTCGGAAAAAACATAATAATGATAAAGCAATTATTGTTAGAGTCTCTGAAATTAAAGATTTTGGTGTTATAATAGATCAAGCCTTATCGTTTATACCGCATATTGAGTATATCTACACACAAGCTATAAAGATTTCAGGCTTATAAAACGAAATGTTTCTGATTTTAAAAATGTTAACTGTTTGTTTTATCTTTATACTATGCATTGGTAAGGTGTAGCTTTCTTTGAATATGCCAGTATGGTCACCATTTTATTTAGTTCATATACAGTCTGTTGAGCGCATTCAAAGTAAGTTTTGTAAGTACCTATTTGTATTTTATATAAATCGGAGAATATCCTCCGAAATTATTTGACAGACGTGCCCTATACAATTGTTTTAATATCAAATCTTTAGAGGACATAAGGAAAGTTTTTTGCAATGTATGTATTTTTAAGTTAATTCACCACAGTCAATTGTCAATTTTATTTCCATTTTGTCGTACAAATTATCTCTTTTATTCGCCAATATTTAACATGTGTAGGAAATGTAATGAAACCTCTGGCCTTGTCGATATATTTAATTGTAATATAAAAGCGTCCTGTAAAAATAGTAAAAAAGCTATAAGTAATTCCTAGGCATAATATGTATCAACTGCACGCACCAGTGTGCCATTTACTAGGATGTAATTTATATGTTGGTTGTAAAATATTGTTTAATCCCTTGTGGATCATTTGGTCTGTTGGATTTAATTTATTATTATTATTATTATTATCATTTTCTCTTTTACCGACAATTTTTGTGAGGGTAAAGTCTAAAGTGTAATTTTACCCACCCTTATGTAATTTTTACCCACAGTTCAGTCATTTTCTATAACTATGGAAACCGAAGTGGAGGCAGAAATGGATATATTTACTCTAATATCCACTGATTTACTAAATTTTAAATTAATAAAACTATGTGGGAAGTAAACTGGATGTTGCTTACGAAGTTTCCAATGCTACTTCTTGTGGTACAATTACCGTATTCATTCTAAATGAAGACGCGTTTTTATAAAAAGTTTGACGTGGAAATAGTTATTTATGCAACTATTACTCACGAGTTGCTTACAAATTTTTTTTCACGTTCGTAACAAAACTCAGCAACCATCTACTTCAAAAACTTTTTATTTTGGAACATTAATAAAAATGTAGCCGTACTTGTCTTGACCATTTCTTCAGGGTTGCACGAGAAATCTTCATCGCTGTCCGATTCCATTTTGCGAGCACACAAATTATCACAAAACACTGAGAAAACTAATATAAAGGACTTAAATTTTAATTTCTGACAAATGTGTTGATGAATCGTCATATCAACGCAACGGCAGGCTTCTATGTGTTGCGTTGAAGTGTTCTCCGTTAAAAATGATACGCTACGACACATTTTTTCATTTAAATGCGTGAAAAAATGAAATGCTATGACATTTTTTTTCACGCTTCTAGTGTGATGAAATAAACGTATCCTGTATAAACAAAAATTAATAAAAAATGTTACATTTTTTTTAACGAACGTGAAGAAATATTAAATAATGGTTGCTAGGTAAAATCTTCAGCGAAATGCTGCATTGAAATGTTGCGGAATTTTGTTATTTTTAAATATTAAAAAAAAAGCGATAAAAGTATAAAATAAAATTTTGTATTCCACTCGAAAGTAAAGAAAAATTTACCCACTCCACTTACCTTTTTGTAGAATGAATAACTATTTAGTCAACGATAAACAATTTTTATATATTCGTGAAAAATAGTTCACTCGTGACTACTGTTTCTCAGAAACGAACACTTTTCTCTGGTAGATAAAGATTCTCTTTATCGTCTTGTATAATAAATAACTGTTGAGAAAAATATCTACCTCAAGAACATAATTCATACCAGGAACTAAGAAGACTGTTCCCTTTTTCCTAGTGCTTTCTGTAACTTTTAATAAACAATCTGCCTGAAGAATTGTTGATATTTTAAAAATCTCTCAATTGACAACTTTGATTTAACATTGTCTTGAATTTGAAACCCTAAATAATCATAATGAAATTTACATAATATAATATAATGAAACTTATTCAATAACTACAGAAAATGAAGCGCAAACGAAAACGTTTTCCTTTAAAAAAAAAAAACAATCGAAAACCAGCGCTAACTTTAAGAAAAGCTTTTACCAAATTTAATACTACTGTAAAAGGAATAAATTTTGACAATTAGAGTCTTTGTAGCAAATATCTTGTTGCTCAGTATATTATATTTCAGAACTGACGGAATTTTATAGGATATGTTGAATAAATGAGAATATATTTAAAGTACAATAAAAAATAAATTACAAGTGTAGAAAACACAGAAAATTCAAAACTACGACTGTTTTCCTGATAAACATGTAAAAAATATTTTTAATCACATAGTAAATAAAAAAATATTTGTGGCCGCCGTACGATTTTGCCCATTTTGCCTAACTGACCGGCGGATGACAAACACCGGTTTTGAATTACTAAGCCGGCAAAAAGGTTACTAAACCAATTTTTTTTATTACTGACGGAGGACACGACTGCATAAACTGTAATTTCATGTTCTCTCAAATATTTATACTTGATTTTTGTTGCACTTACCCATTTGTTACTTCTTTCAGAACACCTTGAGCATGTTCAGGAACCGCTGAGTGGTTATTGTAGTTTTAATTGAGTTAATTCTAATATCAAAATTTTTCTGCTATCTCGGTATCTTGATTCATTTCTATTAAAATAATTTAATAATAATCTTTTATGATTTAAACAAATTTAAAGTATCCCAAATAAATATTCTATTAATTTAGACAAACACACACTCAGCTAGTCGAATAAAAAGGCATTAGTTCCAAATAATGTTTGCAGGTATTAGAAATGAATGTTCTCTTAATTTTATATTTTATTTTAACTTGATTTACAACGATGATCATACATTCACTCTCATGCATTCATATACATTCAACTGGCCCTAGTCCCTGATAAACAAACAAATTTTCAATCACGAACGAACACAATAAGTCTCAACAACAATGAAATATACAGTAAAATACATATATATTTTTAATGCCCATTTAATAGTGGCTTCTCTAAGTGTGCAATTACACACTCAGAAATATAACAACATGCTAGAAGAATAATTAAAAATAAATGAGAGAAAAAATAACGATCTCAGTATGAATAAATTAAACACAGGTGAAAAATAAAATCTAACATTGCACTGCTTGTATAAGTAATTATTTACAAACGAGCTATAATATAAAATTTATCGTACAAAGCTTACACGAACATAAATATACTGGCCAACTAATTCACATATTGTTTTAAGTAACTAAACAATATATCACTTGTAAAATTGACAAAAATTAAACTGAAAATATCTACAAAATTATTTTCACAAGTATATATCATTTTTGACGAATTATCAAAAACATTATTTATAAACGAATAAATAATTGTTATTCTGGTTTTACGAACCTAAGATATTGTATTTAATGGTAACGTGGTGTTCTGCTTCTTATAAATTAGGCCAAAAACTCTGAATGTAATTACTCGTACTTATTGGTTTACTGTACCATAATTACGAAATTACGAAACAAAAATCGCTAAAAATAGTTCATTATACATTTTACGGGCCACAAGTACTGTTTGTATCTGTATTTATTCTTTATATCGACCTAACTTTTGTTAGGTCAGTCAACAATTTTCTTGTCTGATAACGTAAAATACGTCATGATGCAGTTAGGCGCACACGATCGACGCTAATAGCTGCCATCATCGGTGCAAGATTAATGGTGTACAGTCAGCTTAATAATTACGTTAACGATACGTTTAGATTGGAAGTTGATAGACGATTAGCGAGCTGCAAATAGGAGCGAATATATGCGATATACAGATATAAGGATAGCCCATCAATCAATTGGAGGGGTCAACCCAATTGTGAGGCAGGTCAACACGTTGATTAAGTCTTGCACATTAATGCCGTATTGTTCCTGGTTGAGTTGGAGCATTCGTCAACGTCACATCCTTTCAATAACGTGTTTTCAATATTCCCACGCTTGTTATTAAAATACTTTTCAATTCGGAATTATACGGATAATATCAACAATACGAACTATTAACTAATTAGCAATTTTTTTTGTCAGCTGTTTGACTGGAACACAATGAAAACAGATAAAAGATATCACACTTTTGTAGTTAAATCTAGTGGTGCTGGTCTAACTAGTTTTATCCTCTTGATTCCTTTTTCAGACTCACAGTCACTTTCTTCATCTGCTTCACTGCCAGCACCTCTTTCAGTTAGGACAGAATCTGAACGTTCACTGTGCGTGGGTGACGATCCTCGCTCACTCAAGGGTTTCATACTTAAGTCTATGGGGTCTTCTTGTACTGATGATTCAACGGAATGTGGCGGTTCTACTTCCGGAGTTGGAGATCTTTGTGATTGTAACACAGCATCAAGGAATACTCTTTTATTAAACACTTCTGCACCTGGGTTATGATTTCTAATTAATCTATTGTTGTTGTTAGTCGGTTGTAAAATGTTCGGATAGAGTGGCGTGTAACCCGGAGAAAACAGTAGACCATGCGGAGGCAAAAATGGTGGGATTAAACCATGAAACAGAGGTAGTCTCCTAGCGTCGCTAATTTCAACTGATGAATCTGAATTGTGCGATTCGGGTGAGCTTACAGATGGAGAAGCAGAATTTTTATATTCATCAAGTCCAAGAAGCATCAGTTCTTCTTTGGTTTTATTGATATGCTGTATCAGTGGATGACTAAATGGACTGTTCAAGAGACTTAAACCTAGGGGTTGCGGAGGTGGTGGCGTTTTTTGTGAAGGTTTCATACCACCTTGGATGGGATTTACCGATTGTTGATGTTGTTGCTGCTGTTCTTGAAGCAAACAATGAATTTTGAACCAGTTTGATCTTCTACCATATCTTGAACCACTTTTGGACATACCTACCATGAGACATTTTCTAAGTCTGCACGCTTTACAAGCTGTTCGATTTTTCTTGTTAATAACACATTCGCCGTTATTTTTGCATTCAGAAATAGAACTCAGGTTGTTATATGATCTTCCAAAGAATGACTGTAAAAGAAAAAAAAATTAATTTCAAATCTTAATTGTTAAACTAATCGTTGTTTCCGCACAGCCTATCAACCCGACTAATCGTACTTCCCGCCAAGTATATTGCGTCATGCACATTACAATGCCACAATAAAAGTGAAATTGTGCATGCAGATATTGTTGTTTCAGGGCGGCATTGGCGGGTCGGTCTGGCCTATTGGGCATGTGGATTACTGGGTCGGAAGACAAATGACGTAAGGCTTGCTCGGGTTAGCTCATATACAACTTAGTTAGCACTTTCCCCGCATCTAGCGCTCTATCGCTCAACTGTATAATCGTTGGTTAATTATATACACTCATATTTAAATTGAGATGATCTGCTTGAACGAAGACAAATATAAAATGTGTGATACATGTTAACGTTTTTATATATAATTTCATTATTAAACAAAAAAACTAAATACACCTAAATACATCATTAATTGAACTGTAAGGCTCACATTATGTAGTTATGTAGACATAATATATTGACATTGTATCTGAGTGCGGAAGAATTCTCTCTTATAAATTTGTTTAATTTAAAGACAATATACTACAACCGCTGAAGTGAAAATTCTTTTCTAGTTAGGTAATTTAAAATCTATTTTTTAAAATAACATTCAACTATAGGTATACATGTTTGATAATTTATTTTAACTTCATATGTAAAGCAATCGACAGATAAGTAAGTACTGTAAGCTCAGTTGACGTGTCAAATTGTACAGTGGAAGTACAAAACTGTTTTAATTTCAAATGGAAGTGCACAATGTAATATGGATTTTTTATATAATTTCCCGCAGCTACAGAAATCTAATAGTTCTATTTTCCGACCGAAATATTATCACGGTCAGTGGCGGCTGGTGGGTCAAAATTTCGGGTCGGCCAAATATTTTGAGTCTACACCTTGGTGTTATATATTTTCGTAATGTATGGCTGCTACTCATTAACCACTGACATTTTACGTGCCAGGATGTACAAAACATCTCAAATGTTTCGACCTGTTAAAATAATTTTTTATAGGAAATTGACAATGTCAGTTTGATTCCAAATACTATTAATCCTTAATTCTACTTGTTCTGCTTTATCATTAATTGAGAACCACCGAAAACATTATTTTTACTGAGTTCCGCGTCGACCGGCGGCTATACGGCTTGCCGACCCCGGACATCCACAATTAAATAATAATAATTAAATAATGACATGCAGTTAAAAAATATAAAAAAAAAGTAATAATAAAAGTACCAACTGTTAACTATCTTCATTTACATTAATTTTTTTTTTTAATGTATATGACAAATTGTCAAATAAATTAATTGAATAATTGAAAAATTAAAATGATTTAAAACTTTAAATTCGTTTCTGAAATATCTGAAAACGCTTAGATGCTAAAAATACAGAAAAAGCGCATTTATGTTGTAGCTAAGTTATGTACGAAAAATAAAATTTTAGATAATTTAATGTAATTTTTTTCGTTTATTATTCATACACAGGAAAATGTATTAAATCGACAATTATTATTAAAAAAAAAAATAGTATGCACTGAAGAACATCGAAGCCGTTATTGTTTTGTAATTTGGTTAGCTATCTTAAATATTAAGCGTTTTAAAAACTAAATTCGCGTTGCTGGGTACGGCGAAGGAGGATTTCGCCGGACCTGGCACAACATACGTTCCGCCAGGTCTTTGTCTACTACAGTGTACTAGACAAAGAGAACGATGAAACCGTAAGCTGCTACGAAGTCGAAACATCGAGCATAATACATTCCTGGATACGGCGTGCCGAAATCTCGCCGGCAAAGCGTGTTTATCAGCATTTAAAATTAGCAACAAATGCTTTATTTTGTACCTACAATATAATAAAATATATTTTTAATATATATGATCTATCCTAATGTACATTCAAACTTTATTTCTTTTTTTATTTTCTAATTTCAACGCTTACTAAGTATTTTAAAATGACTGGTACGGCGTGGCCGACCCTGCCGCCCCTGACCAGCCGCCCCTGATCACGGTAATGAATAATAAAAACAGAGCTTTTTCAGAATGTGCCCTTTTCCAAACTTATTATAAAGTTTGTCTAGAATTCTAAGAATTTTATGGACTCCCAAAGTTAATTCTTTTTACAGCCCTGCCGTCAATTTTATTGTACAGCTAAAGAGCCTGTCAGGGGAAAGCCGATGTTTACTGCACCCAAGTTCGCCCCGCGCCGGGCAGTCTGGCAGGCAGGTACTAAAATACAAATTTCTTGGAAAAGCTGCGGTTCAAAAAGGACTGTAAAACGACAGGGCTGTAAAACGAATTAACTCTGGGAGTCCATAAAATTCTTATAATTGTATACAAACTTTAAAAACAACAGTTTTAACCCATCTTTCTTATTGTTAACATATATCGTAACCCGTTGTTTTTAGCTTTCTTTATTAACAATCAAAATTTGGAATGCCTTTTTTAGGTTTAGCTTGTAACACTTTGTTTTTGTAGTCACTGCTATTTAAAGCACTCATTGCTCCAAAAATTTATAATTATAACTTAATACAATAAACACTTCACGCCATCAGCTACTGCAAAATCGGTTTGATAGTTCTACCCACGTTCTACCATCCCTGATAGAACTAGGCTGTGCAGCCCGATTTTCGCAAGACGCATTTTCTTTATACGAAAACTTCAATTTTGTGTAACAGTTCTGTTGGTTAGTTTTCAAATTTTCGCATACGCAATCAGTTGTTTGGACTCCAACGATTTTTTAACGAAGAATACTTATTGAATCAAAAGGCGTAATCGTAATATCTATGCACACAACTTGCAACGCGAGCGATAGTTAACTAATTATCCATTGTACATCCAACAGTGCCTAAGTGTTCTTTGTCTTTCTTTCAAGCAATAAATATTCGGTTTCCGGGACACTTATACTAAGATGTAATGTCTATGTGTCATGTTAAAACTGATATTTTGTCAGAACTGATGCAGAATGTGTTGAAACGACGAAAAGCCGAAAATACTGATACGACTTTGATATATGGTGAGTGTCTTACGCTGAAGAACATTGCCCATACAGGAGATGCATTGACAAGCTCTTTTTGAATTTGTTTGTTTTTTATTTTTATGTTTACGTTTATTTTTAACCTAACAATTGACGTTTGTTTTCAAATTATCAAAGCCAAACAGCTAACTAAAAATAACGTTTCACTTAAAACAGAAATGATGGTAAATATCAAAGATTGCTATGAAATTGTACTGTTTGTTGCTGTGTTTTGAACTTTTCATTCTTCTTGATTTGGTAAATGCTGCTGTTGTGCAGAAGAACCGTTACAGACCCAGATTTGCTAAGACGAAGAAGAAATGAGTTTCGAGTAATTGCTAGTCATTACAGGTAAAGAATGACCCTACTTAGGGCTGGTACCTGATTTTATTATCCGCTGCGGTTTAGCTGCAGTTTACAGGCATACAGATTTACAACATAAGCTGGGAAAGATTAACGGGTTAGTTACATGTGCCTCACTTTCTTATCTTTACAGACTTTTAACTTTTTAACTAATTTTGTTTTTAAAACTAAATTTTCGTTTGAATTGAAAAGGTAACACGAGGTCTAACAACCTCTTATTGACATTTAAAATATTATGAAATTGACTGAATTTGACTGACAGACAAAAATTCTGAAAATTTTGCAAAACATTGGAAGAGAATGAGGTACATCAGTACTGACGTGACTAATAACTTGAATTAATTCTACTTTTAACTCCGCTTTGGGTTTCTTGAATTGTTTTTCAGTTATCTGCTCAATAGCCAAAAAAGAGATCGAAGTGCAGCAAGGATTGAAAACTCAAAGATTTTTAATATTCGAAACGCCCTGGTTACTATCAAAGCATATAATATGAGAGTATTTCTTGATACAAAAAACGCATTTTACTGAGGGTTATCGCAAATGCACATAATAAGCAAGAAACAACCATTATTGTAAATTGATTGAACTCCAAAAATAAATAAATAAATAAGCGGATAAGGAAAAATAAAAAATATTAACCATATCGTATCATTGTTCTAATATTAAATGAGTAAATTTAAAAGATATGGAGACAAATATTTATTTGTTTTAACGTGTATTGTATTTTGACAAGGAATCGCACGAACGTGCACATAGAGTAGCCACAATCTAAGTTCAACACAGTCGCAAACTTACGCAAAAGTACAGAATAGGTCAGGCCAAGTCCACTTTTAAATTTAAGGGATGGGCGCACCCCCAGAGGCGTCCATCATCGTTGCATAGTTATAGTGGACTTTTTTGACATCGGTATTTCCAGTTTAATAGTTTATTCATTTGCATTCGACCTAGCTGATTTTCTTATTGTCGGCAATTTAAAAAAAGGTTTTTTTCAGTTACAAAATAAATAAATAAAACCACTCGTTTTCAAATGCACACGTTACGCTACTGACTGACAGTCATTTGTCAGATTATGATGATGATGATTCACCATGTTGAACTTGCAGCGTGTCGACTCTACAAGAGTTTCCACGGTTAGATATTTTGTCTATAAATAGATTATAGTTCGCAAGCCTAACTGATCTGCACTTCGTATAGTCAGTTATTTAAAGAAGAATTATTTATATAACACATACAAAATTAAGTACAATCAGTTCATGAAAAACACTGTATGTATTAGAACACGGAGGATTTTTTATCTTTTGATTACATACAGGGTGTCTCAGAAATAAGTACATTAATTTTAACCAGTAACAGAACTCGTGAAACGGAACAACTTTTTTATCTACCATTTTTTCGAAAACTCAAGTCGAATTTCGAATTTTCCCACCCATATATTCACGAGCCGTCTATGTTCACCTTAAATAATAATTTAAATAATAACAACACTACAACAATGAAGAAGGTACCCCAGCAACCGTTTTGACACTGACAATCATTTTTATGTCAAGTGTATGTTATTAAACGTTGTCTCTTTAAAGTTTGTTTGGCACAGGTTTCTAATTTATAGACGAAATGTGTTGAAATGGCTTTGTTTTCAAATTTGGAATGCACCGATATCGTTTTAACGTACGGTGAAGCTCGGGGAAACGACACTCGCGCCCAAAGAATTTTTTCAGAAAGCCTCCCAAATCGTCTGCCAAATATGCGCACTTTTAAGAACGTTGCAGCATCTTCGAGAGTGCGGATCTTTTAAAGTTGCACCTCAGGATCAGGGTAAGTTACGTAGTAATATGTAGAATTGCTAATATTGAAGAGGCTGTTTTGAAGAGTGTCGAAGCTCGACCGAGCACTAGCACGCATCACTGTCTAGTGTGATGTATCGGAGAGTATTATTTGGAGGATACTCAGAGAACAAATGTACCCCTTTCAGAACCAGAAAATTCAGTTATTGAAACTAACAGACTTACCACGTAGGCAAAACTTTTGTGAGTAGGTTAATAGAAAAATAAACGAACAAGCAAATTTTGTATCTTTTATACCATCAACTGATGAGGTCCGTTACACGAGGGAATGTGTAATCAACACCCACATTTGGGCCGATGAAATTCCGTACGCCATTAGGGAGCAGGATTTTCAATTTCTCTCTAAATGTTTGTCACATTGACAAGATTAGGAAAATATGTATCCTAGTAACTGTTTTTGACCATAAATTATTAATTATAATAATTATTAGTGTCCATGGGTGACTGAGGATCCATGGGCGGGTAACCTTAATTGGGATAAAACTTGAACAATTTTTAACTTGATAATTAAAAAGTTCTTGACAAAACTCTATTAAAAAAAGTTGTTGAGTTCAATGAGCTCTATAACTGATTAAAATTAATGTACTTATTTCTGAGACACCCTGTATAGGCTGCATTTTGGAAACACAAAAAAGTAATTTTTTAATGATTTCGTTTATTTTTTATTTGAATGGATTTTTTTTTTAAGTCGTTTATATTAGGCAGGGGATCTATGTACTTTTAAATGTAAGCAGCATAAAAATAGTGATAAAGATTCTTTTGTTTCATTGAGAGAATCAGTTAGTGTAAAATTAGTTGTTTTATGCTCTAGTTCTTTTCTGCCATTCAACAGTACGTGTGTACGTCAGACCATCACATGTGACGATGTCCTCGGGAATTACGTCATTCTTTCGATTTCAAATCCGTTGTACCATGAAAACTCGGCCAGATTACTCGGTTCGTAATTTTCTATTAGGTATCGCCGAAATGGTTAGTCTTCATTTCAATTCTATTTAGATATATGCAATCTGCTGCTTTGTTATGTAATGTTTGTGATAACGGAAAAGTAATCGAAATTTTATAGTAGCCATTAATGGATTACTGTCGTTACTCTAATATGTCTGATATGTCTTGCAATAATAAAAACAGGTTAATGTTAGTGATGTGATTTAGTATTATGTTCAGCGAGACATATAATTCACTGCGTCATCAATAACAAATATATTACTCTTTAAGTAATTTGGAAAACATTAAATATATAATCATTAGTGACATTAGTCTCTAAGGGGATTTATTTTATTCGCGTTTATATGTTTTGAGTACCCTCACATAATTCAATTCCAGTTTATTCTATAACAGGTAAAGTTCGAACGTATGTAGCTACATTTGACTATCTATATTTCGTTTTTCATTAATGAATGGAATGTTAGCGCCACATTGTTGTTTGTTTAGTGCGGCTCGTTATAATGATTTCTAAACTTAATTTTGTATATCGTTTTTTTATTTGAATATGTTTATTATTCTACTATTCCTTGAAATACTTAGTTTAAGGGGGACGTTCACTACAGTTTTAGAAATATTGTCTTATATTATTAAATTTTGCTTACTTTTGGTGGAAATAGAATTAAGATTTTTTTAAAATCTGGTGTAGTGTGGTGTTTTTTTTTTAGAAAAATGATATACATTGAGTAAAAATCTAAAACATTGTTTTTCCGAAATTCTGCAGAATCGAATTCAATAATCGTATTAAAAATAAAAAACATTTAAGTGTGGGGAATTTTTATAGAGATTTTAATTTAAGGTTTTTGTGGCTAATGGACTTTTTAGTTTTGTTTCCCCAAATTTTGTGCTTTTTAGGTTTTCAGCATAATTATAGATGCTTTTGTCTATTTAGTGTTTAAATCGGTGGATTTCAATGAAAGAAATCACATAATTACGGGATTTTTTTTAAAGCAAAGAACCTTAGTTTAGAAAGTTTCTTTCAAAATGTATAGGTTAAAAATAAAAAAAAAGAAACAACTAAGATTTCCGTTTGAAAATGCTTAAAAAGTGTTGTAGATAGACTTGTATGATTATCCTATTTATAAAGCAAATTTGTTGAAATTAAATATGGTTTTTTACGATTATACAAAATAATTTGTTTCTTTCATTTTTATAGCACGGTTTTCAAATTTTGATGAATTTGACCATAAAATGCGAATATTTATTTCACTAAGATGTAGTTAAGGTCGCGTTATACAACGTATCGCTTGAAAATAAACTTTTGAAATACATAGTATTTTTGTAATGACTGTACATTTTTGACACATTACAAATAAGTTAAAAAAGTAGCGGTACGGGGCTATAAAAAAATTATTCTGTTTCTTCTTTTGAATAATGAACTTACTTAATTTTTCATGTAGTGATAAAATATATGTATTGCCTACAGCTTTTATGTATGTGCTTTAAAATTTTGTTTTATACGTTATATGATTTCAAAAAGTGCATCTAAAACAAAGAATTTTTGAATTAGTCAAATTAATTTAATAATAAGGTAGTAAGTATATACTGACCATTGTCCGTGTTTCTTACGAGTATAAAAATTTGAGCATGAGTCGATAGCAAGGGATGTCGTTTACAGCTGCTATGTGTGAGAAAATATTTTTCAATTAAATTATGTTTCCTATGATCAATAGGGTCGTGCCGTCCAAATTCTTTAAGTGAAGATGTTAAAATTAATGCAAGGTTGAAGTAAGTTTTTTAGTTTAATTTTTTTTATTCAACGTTTCGGGATACGTTTCGAGAACTGCTTTTCTCATCTTCAGTCTACAGAGGAAAAATTTCTGATTCTATATACATACTATTATAGTTCGCATAATTTTCAAATGACATAGTCAAATTCTCCACTTCTCAACACTGGGAACTAAATTACTCTGTCACTTGACTACATCGACACTACAATTCTACTACTATTCGTGCTCACGTATAGCGAATATGTAGCTATAATTTAACTGTAACTGTAACTTTTGTCTGGTAAAGTTGCCGCATAGGTTGAAGATGAGAACAACGGCTCTCAAAGCATTTCCCGTAACATAGAATAGAAAAATTGGTCTAAAGTTATTTGTACAAAACTTCGTAGGCCACGCTCGGGAAGTAAAAATGATGTAGAATAAAAAAACTGTGGAACCTGACCTCAACCTTTTATTTACTTCGTAACATCGTTTAAAAAGTGTTTATTGCATTTGTGCTGCTAACATACCATCGTAGTAAAAATATTAATCATTCGCAATCATACATAATTTTCTAAAGTCATTGAATGCATATTACATGTAGGCTTTTATGGGGAAAATATTATATGTTTCCAAATTATTCAATAAAAAGATGGAAATGTATGAGGCGATCGCAAAAAGTTTCAGTTCTCATTTGTATGAATTTATTTTATGTTTCACCTGTTTGTTGTAATAATAATAATAGTTCAATCAACACTTTTTGGTTACAATTGTTTTATTTTTAGGGTATTTTTTAAACTACCAACCTTACAACCTTCGCATGTGAAAGCTCCAAAATGAAATCCTGCTGCTGGTTCTCCACAAACCTTGCACGTTTGATTCATCTAGAATACAAAAATAAAAATAATATAAATAACTAAAATAGTAACAAAAACAGAAAAAAAAATTTTTGCTAAACAAAATATGCTCCTTGCAGGTTGTTTTTCTGATGTTCTGTGAATTTTGATCAATCTACTGAACTGAATTACCTACTAAAAACTCTAATGTTACCGTTTGTCTTGTTTAAAAGTACACCACGTGAGCAAGTTTAAACAAAATCACTGTAATAAATTGATGAAAAGTTGCAATCGGTTGGACTATGGTACTTTAGTTCTGGAAGATTGCTTGGAAAATAATGAGTTCACGAAGTTTAAAATATGTCCATAAACTATCGTTATATGTTGTCAGAAATTTAGTTATAGAAGCGAGAAGCCTCGAATACAATCAGTTCCTGATTTTTTATTGCATAGTTTACATTCTAGGCTACTTTCTTATGAAATGAACTCTCCGTTTGACCAGCTTCATATGAAACAGCACTATGATATGCCAATATGTTTTATAAATATGGTAACATCTCAATACATGTAAAATTAAATAATTGCTCTCGTAGTGGAGTATGGATCTTAGAGTATAAAATGTTACTTCTGGGCCAGGGCATTTGGCGTCTTAAAAAACAACGCAGAATCTTACAAATTTAGCTGATTGCCCAAAAGCAAACAACCGAAAAAGGCCTGAAACCCTTCAAAAAGCATTAATTTTTATCCACCCCAAAAGTACCCAAATATCTGTAGACCACCAAAAATTGGGCACACGAAAAAACAAGGTAGAATTCTACAAATTTAATGTTTTCCCAAAAGTAAACAACCGAAAAAAAATTTAAAAAACTTCCCTACAAAACGCATTAATTTTTATGCACCCCAAAAGTACCCAAATATCTGTAGACCACCAAAAATTGGGCACATGAAAAAAACTGTTGAAATCTCCCAAAATAATGCAAAATTATCTCAAGAGCACTCTGAAAAGCTGTCAAAATCCGTTGTTTTTAGACATTCCAAATGGCTTTTCTGGACCAAGGCATTTGGCGCATGTAAAAAAAAAGAAAAACAACACCAAATCAAAAAGGTATATTTGGCGCCTTACAAAACAAGGCAGGATCCTAAAAATGTATGTTTCCCCAAAAGTTAACAACCGAAAAAGATATAAAATCCATCAAAAATCATAATTTTTAAAGCGACCAAAAAATATTCAAAAGTTTCTTTTCTTGTTGTAAATCAATAGCCCATTAGATATTGGGTACATGAGAAAACTGTTGAAAATCATCCAAAATCAATCATAATTACGTTAAAAGCACCCAAAAAACTTTACAGCATACCTTGTTTTCACTCCAAAATGGCTTTTTATTTCTGGACCAAGTATTACAATCTACGATTGTGTATTTTGTTACTATTAGTTTAGTGTTCCCACATTTATAGACTGCAGAAACTATATTAGTTTAAACCTGCCATCTAGCGAAAAATAATACAATTAAAGCATTGCAGCTCTGTAAACATAAGGTCCTTTAAATTTTTTTTGAATTTTTGGATTCGTTATGAAATTTTATTTTACAACTTGAAATTTTTATGTTAGAAAATATTCTATCGCTATGAAAAATGTTTTGCGCTTTATCAGGATTGGAACACGCAGTAAATGAATGCAAATGTTCAGAGCACGACGCTGTAACTTCTGCGCTAATGCGGTTCTGTTTTACCAACACTCCTATAATGAATTTTTTTACGTTCGTTAAAAAAAGTGTAACATTTTTTATTAACTTTTGTTTATAAAGGATACGTTTATTTCATCGTACTAGAAGCGTGAAAAAAAGTGGCATAGTGTTTAATTTTTTCACGCATTTGAGTGAAAAAAAGTGTCGTAGCGTGTCATTTTTTAACGGAATAAGACATAGTAGCCTGCCGTTGCTATGATAATTCATAAACACAAGTGGTTTGTATTAATTTTCTCGGTGTGTTTTGATAATAATTTGTGTGCTCGGACAATGGAATCGGACAGCCATGAAGATTTCTCGTGCACCCCTGAAAAAATTGTCAAGACGGCAAATACGGCTACATTTAATATCTATGTCCCAAAATAAAAAGTTTTTGAAGTTGGTGGGTGGCGGATTTGCGCACTCGCCTTCGGCTCATGCGGCAAATTTTCCTTCTAGTAAAAAAAGATACACTTTACTCACTAGTTGCATAAATAATAACTATATTCGAACCAAAATTTACTTCATTTATCATTACATTGAATTAAAGTGCAATATTTCATCCTTTCTGATTTTGTGAATTCTCGTTAATAGTCAATGGATACATACTTTTATTTAAAAAATTTTAAATAGTAATAACACAAATGTTATCATGACGTGTGACAAGAAATGAAACGTGCAAAGCTAGTATACATCTCATTCCTTATTACATCAATATAATGTTCTTTTGGAAAGTTTGAATAAAATAAAGTAAAACGTGTTGAAGCGCTTAAAGTGCATTTTAGATCAACCAAAGTATTTGTATACTCTGAACTCTACCGTTGAGAGAAAACAAAACGAACAATGTGCGAAGTAAATTTTAAAGCACTGTAAGCAACAATAGTTTAAATTTCTTGGTGTTCACTTACTTGTAATGCTGATACAAATTAATAGAACTGGATTTTTATTAACTTAAACTTTAAAGATTTTCTCGTGATACATTCTTTGGTACGAATGACGTCATCACTTAGCTGAAGTCGTGAGCTAAGTAAATGCTCCAGTTATCTGTTTGCCCTACCGGTCAACAATGTAAAAATTTATAAACATTGCAAATATTTGCAAATTTCTCCAACAATAAGAAAATATCGAGAAAGCAATAAAAACAGGATCAAAGACGGCCATGGATTTATAAAGGTTTGTCTTTGATGTATGTAATGCACCTATACATACATGTCTCTCTTTTTGTCATAGTTAGAACTTTCGAACATCTCATTTTGATATTCAGTGACTTGTTAATCGCCCTTCTCGGTATAAGCTTACTTGTGACGAAAAAATTTGAGAAATATATTTTCGCAATAAAGTTAAAATACTTGAAAACTTTTTTCCATTCCAAAATAAGGTTAAAATTTTCATATGTTAAACAATCTACTAAGCCCTAATAATCTATTTTAATACTACAAATAACTGAACATGAAGAGAATTTTAAGTATTTTTCGCTGAATGTTCCCTTATTTAATTATTTATTCTTATTTCAAGGTTAGGATTGAGTTTGCTATGAAAACTTTTTATATATTAATAACAATTTATAAAACATTAGGATACGTATAGCACCTAGCAAGACTCTTTGTAACGAGAAAATTACCTAAAACTAAAAAATAGCTTCACTTTCTGTTTTTGCTTTATTAGAGTTTATATACATATATCAACATATCAGTACTGTGTTTATTCAAACTAAATAATATTAGCAATAATGAGTAACATCATTAAAGTTAACCGGGTCATGACCTCTTAATGACCCCAATAATGTATAAAAACTGCCGTTTGAAACGTACTCGTTCTACAAGAAACTTCACTCGTGCAAATATGAAACAGTCAGTCAGTCGCAGCTGATCCACAAATATGTATTTTTTAAAAGTATTCTTAATAAATTACTAGTGTAATACATATTTAATGTTTATTACAAAACTTACACTCTAAACTTACAAATAATAAGTTGTAGCATTAATCGTAGACAACCACGGTTCACAACGTCGTTTACAAAAACACTGAGCTACAACGAATTAAGCAAAAGAAAATAGATGTTTTATGTTAAGTCTTCAGTAGTTTTGTATGAAAACTAAATGTAACCACTTTGATATATTATATTGTTTGAATTTTATAAATCTATAAAGATACGTTACATACTTTCATAATAAAAGAATGGTTTTTCTTGATACCACAGTATCAAGTGAATAATATGCCACATGGGGACCAATCCATAATTCGTAAGATAAGAAAAATAATGCATAATACGTACGTATATACCGGGTGTCTGGAAAATGGCGGATTAACTCTACGCTGTTAACAATCAACTGGTGAGTCCGGGAAAAATAGTAAAAAAAAATCCGTAGCCTCTACAATGAAAAGGAACAAGTAGGTAATCCGTAGCCCCTACAATGAAAAGGAACAAGTACTCCAAGAAAAGGAACAAGTAATCCGTAGCTGCCATGAAGAAGAATTAAAAAATGCGGAACTGAAACACCAATTGGTAAGTTGTTTAAAAAAGTAAATTTTGAATAACGCTTTCCTGATTTTACGCTATTCGAAACAACGAATATTTATGCGTTACTAAGTCTCTACATATCAGAAGCGTATGTGAAGGGTTTGAAGCATGTAATCCCATTTTGGGTAATCCCAAGAACACAAGAGAACAAAAGTGGAGGAAAATGCTGCAGTCTGACGACCCCAAAAGTTCGGAATTCAAAAAATGCTTAAAAGAATGTAAGCTAGATCTGGTCACAGTCCCAACACTAGAAAAAATGTTTTTTAATAAAATTAACAGCGCTGTGCATGCAGACTTCAGAGTCAGCAATGACAATTTGCGCATTGTCAAAAGCTGGTTTACGCCAGAAGAGTTTGTTCTTGCTAATTGCATCGTCGAGTGCTATGGCATTGCACGTGTAGATATAGTAGATTAATTTAGCAAAAGATATAGAGAGAGACTTTCAGATAATACAACTTTTTAATGTACATAGTTTGTTTTTGTGAAATGCATTTCTTGAAATATGTTATCATTAATAATAAATCGGACTAAAATTTCACTAGATTTGAATCTTCCTTTGAAACAAAAATTTTTATTATTATTATTAAGTAATAAAGATACAGTGAGGACCTAGGTCCTATAAACTGTATAACTTAACTAAAAAACGGCATTGGAAAATGTATGGATAATTTATACACTTAAGTGTGGTAAGATACAGCAAAAAAATTAAATAAATAAAAATATAAAAATTACAAAACCAGTACTATACTAAGAAAAATAATCGGAGAGATTGTAGGTTATGACTAGACAGCGGATTTCTGTCG